GCACCACAGTATCACATGGGCATGTGTACAGACGCCACGGGAATTCTGGCATTCCTACATCCCTCTCTGTGTGGGTGGCTGATGAGGCAACGCCCGGGGCTGCTGGCTGCAGGATGTGCGTGTGCAGTGTGGGTATTGGGGTTCCCCAGCAAGCAGGTGTAGGGGGTGCAGATCAGTAGGTTGGATTTGGTAATAATTAAAAGGATCAAACACCATTACCCAACTCTCCACCAACCGGTTCCACTGCTTTACAGGGGCCACGCCTCTCCTGGGGTCCTCAATAGTTGCCACAGGTGTCAGGCTGGCCCCTCTATTTTGCACTTGGAAGAGGGGAACCCACAACCCACCTCCTCCCTCCCCCACCCCGCCAACAAGGTTCAGTGCCTGCAGGGTGGACAGATGGGAGGACAAAGCCCCCGACTTGGATCCAAATCCACGCACACTCGCTGCTCCCGATTAGCAGGATTTGGAAAATTAAGACACTTCGCCCCTACAAAACAGGGCCGACGAGGATGGGATTCGAACCCACGCGTGCAAAGCACAATGGATTAGCAGTCCATCGCCTTAACCACTCGGCCACCTCGTCCCGTGTGCAGCACCTCTTCCTGCAACCTCTTATCTTCCATCTGCTCCGCACCCCGAGGGTCTGACCACATCCCCCACTCCCCACCGACCACGAGAGTGGGAAACACATGGACAAAAGAGAACTGTTTTGTTTTATTCTTTTTTTTGTTATTGTTAATCTCCCTTCGGCTCGCCTCCGCCGGGCACCTGCGTCCATCCTTCCCCGCGTTGCAGCCGTCCTTGCCATGATCTCTCTGCCTCCCTGAGTCGGGACGAGCGCGCTGCCATTTCACGTGGCGCGTGGTCCAGGGGGTCGCGCACCGACCGCCGGCGGGAAGTCGGGGGCGTCCCGGGCAGCCGCCCAGCCGAGGCGGCCGGGTCGGGCTTTTGCAAAGCGCGCGGCGGCTGCAGCGGCGGCAGCTCCGCCTCCTCTTCCTCCTCCTCCCCGCGCCGGCGGTGGGCGGGACGGCGCGCGGGGTCGGCTCGCCTCGGCTCGCGTCGGCTGCGCTCGGGAGGCTGCGGTAAATCCGGGCTTGCGGCCGCCTGGCAGCAGAAGCTGCGGCCCGGTGGTCCTGTGCCGCGCGGCGCCGAGCCCCCCGAGAGCCATGCAGATGTCCTACGCCATCCGGTGCGCCTTTTACCAGCTGCTGCTGGCCGCTCTCATGCTGGTGGCCATGCTGCAGCTGCTGTACCTGTCGCTGCTGTCCGGGTTGCACGGGCAGGAGGAGCAAGAGCAGTACTTTGAGTTCTTCCCGCCCTCCCCGCGGTCCGTGGACCAGGTCAAGGCGCAGCTGCGCACCGCGCTGGCCTCCGGGGGCGTCCTAGATGTCAGCGGCGATTACCGCGTCTACAGGGGCCTGCTGAAGACCACCATGGACCCCAACGACGTGATCCTGGCTACGCACGCCAGCGTCGACAACCTGCTGCACCTGTCGGGCCTTCTGGAACGCTGGGAAGGCCCGCTGTCCGTGTCGGTGTTCGCAGCCACCAAGGAGGAGGCTCAGCTGGCCACGGTGCTGGCCTACGCGCTCAGCAGCCACTGCCCAGACATGCGGGCGCGGGTGGCCATGCATCTCGTCTGTCCCTCGCGTTATGAGGCCTCCGTGCCTGACCCTCGGGAGCCCGGGGAGTTTGCTCTGCTGCGTACCTGCCAGGAGGTCTTTGACAAGCTGGCCAGGGTGGCGCAGCCTGGCACGAACTATGCCCTGGGGACCAACGTCTCCTACCCCAATAACCTCCTGAGGAATCTGGCCCGTGAGGGGGCCAATTACGCCCTGGTAATTGATGTGGACATGGTACCCAGCGAGGGGCTGTGGCGAGGCCTGAGGGAAATGCTGGACCAGAGCAACCAGTGGGGGGGTACGGCCCTGGTGGTGCCCGCCTTCGAGATCCGTCGGGCCCGCCGCATGCCCATGAGCAAGACAGAGCTGTTGCAACTGTACCAGGTGGGCGAGGTGCGGCCCTTCTATTACGGGCTGTGCACCCCCTGCCAAGCACCCACCAACTACTCCCGCTGGGTCAACTTGCCAGAAGAGAGCCTGCTGAGGCCTGCCTACGTGGTACCCTGGCAGGACCCCTGGGAACCGTTCTACGTGGCTGGAGGCAAGGTGCCCACCTTCGACGAACGCTTTCGACAGTACGGCTTCAACCGAATCAGCCAGGTGCCCGGCGGGGAGGCATGGGCAGGGACGGGAGGAGAGGAGGTGATTAAGTAGCAGACGGTCAAGGGAGGGCAGGATGGGCAGAGGAGGAGGGGATTCGTGGAGGGTGCAGGGCAGCTGTCAGGGGCTCCTCTCTCTGCCCCAGGGCACACCCTCCAACGTGGCTGCCCGTCTCTCGTCCCCAGGCCTGTGAGCTGCACGTAGCCGGGTTTGACTTCGAGGTGCTGAATGAAGGCTTTCTGGTCCACAAGGGCTTCAAGGAGGCCCTCAAGTTCCACCCGCAGAAGGAGGCCGAGAACCAGCACAACAAGATCCTCTACCGCCAGTTCAAGCAGGAGTTGAAGGCCAAGTACCCCACGTCCCCGCGCCGCTGCTGAGCCCCAGCCCTGGGGTTGAGTGGGTCTGGCCCCAGTGTGGGGGGAGCTCCCCTGGACGCTGGGCACGGCTGGGACGTCGTGACACTGGACTTGCTGGGTGCTGGGACCCCGTCCTGGCTTCACCACTAACTAGCTGCGTGGCCTGGAGCTGACCGCCTGGCCTCTCCAGCCCCCCAGCCCCCTTGTCCGACACAAGGGGGAGGTGAGAACCTACCTCACGGACCTGCCGCGGGGGCCTCGGGAGAGGGCTGCGTGTGAACACCCTGTCCGCTGCGTACCAATGTGAAGTTTTATTCCTGTTATCACAGTATTATTATTATTATTGTTAAAAGCTCAGGTGGGCAGGCAATAGCACAGCTGGCGGTGTGAATCGGGCAGAGCAGAGGAAATGGGACTTTTTTTGAAAAACAACAAAAAAAGGCGGGTTCTCAACAGAAACCTAAACTGGAGCTTCTGCGAGGGCCCAAGGGCTGGGGGTCCGCCATCTGCCTCGGGACTGGCCTTCTGGTGACAATGTGTAAATAAATGAGTGTTCACACACCCGCAGCTGGCTCCGTCGCTCTCCTGCGCTGGGGAGTGGGGGGCAGGGCTGGGTCCTCCCGCTGGCATGCCAGAACTGGGCACGGGAAGGCCGAGGGTGCCCGCTGCCCAGCCGGGAGACCACAAAGAAAAACCCAGTGTGGGCTGCATCAGGCTGGAGGCCTGCGAGCAGGAAGGTCCGCCGGTTGCTATGGAGACCGGCCCGCGGTATCCCAGCATGCCTAATGGGCGCCTCCTGATGACGCACGCGGAAGCACCCCGGGCACTGCATCCCAACTCCCGCAGGAGCGGGACTGCGTGCGGCGCAGAGCTTCCCGGAGCCCGGCCGAGGCGGCTGTCCAGCCCCCGTAGCCTCGGCCCCGCTGCCCGTGGTGCGTATCGCCACGCCCGGCGCCTGGTGTTGGCGGCTCGGGGCCGTGGGCGGGAGCCGGCACAACCTCTTCCTCCTCGGGGGCGGAAGCGGAGACTTAACCCCGGGGTGGACAGGACGAGGACCCTCAGCGGGGAGGGCTCTGCTGTGGGGACGGCCAAGTCTGCAGAGATACCTTGCGGGTACTCAGCGACACCCCGAGCAAGAACGAAGGGGTTTTTTGTTTTGTTTTGTTTCCCACACCTAGGTGCCAGTGCTGTATCAGGTGCACAGGGCCCAGGTAGGGAAACAGTCCCCGAGAACGTGGGACTTGGCCAAGGCTCGAGTGCCCTCTGTCCTCTCCAACCCTGGGGCTTAGAGGTGGACCCTCCGTGTCTTCCATCACCATCAGGGATACTGGCCCTGATTCAGGACTCTACCACCTCCCGATGTGGCCCCTTGACCTTGGGCCAGAACCATGAGCCAAAACAAACCTGTGCTCTGTGAAACCCGCGCGGCCTGCGGCATTGTTAACAGCAGAGAGCAGAGGACAATGCAGGCACGGGAGCTGCTGGGCTCTCCATGCGCCCCGTCTATGGGCATGGGGCAGCTAGATCCCCCTCGGAGGAGTGACACCAGCCGCTGTGGCTGCCGCTTCCTCCTGCATCTCACTTCTCCCAGCTGTGGGTTCTTTTGCTTCTTGCTGGGAAGTCTCCTCGCCTGCCCCTTTGGTGACCATGAGTGCTGGTCGCAGCCTGCTCTCCCTTGGCCCACCAAACTTGGCTGATGCAGCCCACATCTCTCGGGCGGGGGTGGGGCAGCTTCCCCTTCTCTTGTCTTCACCTGGAATGTTCCCTGTCCATCAGCTCCTCTCTCCCAGGAACCTGTGAGCCGCCCCTTGAGGGGTCAGAGCTAGGACTGGCACCTACCCCCTGTGCTGTCTGGTGGTACCTAGCCCGTGTCTGGTGTCTGAGTGGAGCAGAAGGAATGGGCGGCAGCGTTAGGAAGTGGAGAATCACCCGACCTTAGCGGGAAGCAGATGGGAGAAGGCAAGATGTTGTTTAGAACTCCTGGATCCCACCTTGGAGTGGCCGGGAGGGGGCAGCAAGTGCTGGGCAGTGGTGGGGTCCTTGCTGCCCACACAGGACACCTGGATTGAGGGGCCATCTCTCAGCTTTGCCTGAGCAGCCCCAGGTGGAGCAGGCATCCAGGGAGCAAACCTAGAAGATGAGAGATGTTTGAACCTCACTGCCTTGGAAATTCAAAAAATAAATACATAAATATAATAAAAAAGAAGAAGAAAGTTTCCAATGGTGAGGACAGCCAGCGTGGACCAGCCTGGGGGAAACGGATCTAACACAAGACAACCAAAGCAGAGCAGGGCAGTGCCGGAGCCTGGCAATCGCCATAGGACAGAAAGTTCACTTCCTAGACTTCTGCGGAGGAGAAAGTGTGAGGCCGAGGGGTCACATTTTGGCTGCATCATCGCAGATGGCAGAAGGGCAGGAGAGAGCGTGCCAGTGCACCAGCCCATAGTAGAATCGGCTCCCAGAGGTGCCACCTCTCACCGGAGTTACTCACAGGAACATGGGGACACGTTCAAACTGTTACCCCTGCCAGGAGGGAGGAAGTGAAGATGAGAGGCCGGCGGCGGGGACTTAGTGGCCCCAGAAGAAGCACGAGACATGAGACATGAGGACATTGTGGGCAGGTGGGAAACGCACCGGCAAAGGGAGGGCTTGAGGGAGTCAGGGAGGAGCTGGACCCAGTTCTGTGGTCCCCCAGGGACTGGGGACTCCACCCTTGGATCTTTCTCCAGTGTGGGTCCTGGCTGTGGCCAGCATTCCCACACTGCCGGGTACGAGCGTCCCCCACAGCTCCGTGCCACGCAAGGTGTGGCTGCACACGGTCCCTAGGCCCCACTGCCTCTGTACTCTGTCCGCTGCTTGCCTCGGGGGTCAGGTTTGGCGCGACCCTCCCGTCTCCCCACCCACAGGCCCCAGATGCCCATCCAGCCGACAAGCAAGGACGCAGAAGAGATGGAAGCAGAGGGCGACTCGGCGGCCGAGCTGAACGGCGAGGAGGACGAGAGTGAGGAGGAGCGGAGTGGCAGCCAGACCGAGTCGGAGGAGGAGAGCTCAGGTGAGGCGTGCCCCTCGCGGGCCTGTGCGCAGCTGGCCGCCAGCTGTCCAGAGCCAGCCCTGACCGGCCTCTCGTCCCAGAGATGGACGACGAGGACTACGAGCGGCGGCGCAGCGAGTGCGTGAATGAGATGCTGGACCTGGAGAAGCAGTTCTCGGAGCTGAAGGAGAAGTGAGTGGCAGGGGGAGGGGAGCGCCGGCAGGGCAGCCTGGTGCAGCCGATGGACAAGGAGTGCCCAGCTGCCTCTGCCCCCCACCCCCAGGTTGTTCAGGGAGCGGCTGAGTCAGCTGCGGCTGCGGTTGGAGGAAGTGGGGGCCGAGAGGGCCCCCGAGTACATGGAGCCTCTCGGGGGGCTGCAGCGGAGCCTCAAGGTCCGCATTCAGGTGGCAGGTGTGTGGCCGTCCCCTGCCCTGCCGTCCCCTGCCCTGTTCCCTGTGCAGCTTCCGGGGCAGCTGGGGCCCCTTCCTGCTCCTTCCCTCTCACAGGCATCTACAAGGGCTTCTGTCTGGACGTGATCAGGAATAAGTATGAGTGTGAGCTACAGGGCGCCAAGCAGCACCTGGAGGTGAGCTGCAGCCTGGGGGAGGCCTGAAGGGCCCAGCCCACCCTGCCCTGCCCCGCCCAGCTGTCTGCCCTGCCATGCCCATCCTCCCTGGCTGCCCTGCCCCGCCCTGGCCAGCCTGCCCAGCTGCCTGCCCTGCCACCAGCCATGCCCTGCCTGGTTCAGCCACTCTGCTGCCCTCTGACTCCCACACAGAGCGAGAAGCTGCTGCTCTACGACTCACTGCGGGGCGAGCTGCAGGAGCGGATCCAGAGGCTGGAGGAGGACCGCCGGAGCCTGGACCTCAGCTCTGGTGAGGGCACCGCCACCCGGGCCACCCAAAGCCTGACACTCCACAGGGGCTCACAGAGCAGTGGTCCCCCTGCCAGTCCAGGGACAAGGTGTCCACATGATGGGCCTATCGCATATAATAGCCCCTGTCACGTGGGCATGCGGAGGTCCTAGGGGCCGGGAACAGTCATTGCCGTTCTGCTGGGAACATGTACACCCAAGGGGAATACCAGGACGGCCTCCCCTGGCCTGTCTTACCCAGGGCGCATTCAGGACCCTCACAGTGCATGCGTGGGTCTGTCCCCTCTGTGGGTCCTGGGAGGTGGGGGACGTCCTCCTGGCCAGAGCCAAGGGGGTCTGCGTGGCAGGAGTAGCCTGTGGCGAGGATGTCCCTGGGCCTGACTTGGGTCTGTGGTACAGAGTGGTGGGATGACAAACTCAACGCCAGAGGCGGCACCAAAACCTGGGACTCGCTGCCCCCCAGCAAGAGGAAGAAGGCACCTCTGGTTTCCGGTATCCTCCACTGAGGGGCTTCACTGGGGTGGGGACAGATGTCGGGGTCTGCCCAATGCCCCAGGGTGGGGATGGGAAGGGGGAGAAGATGTAGGCAAGAACTACAAGTCTACATCAGACCAGACATAGCCATGGCCCGTGGTGCCCTGACCGTGCAGAGCCGGTCCAGGCCGCGTGGGCCTTGCCCGCTCAGCTCCTGTCTGGACTGAGGCTTAGCCCTTGAGGCAGCCCTGACTTTGAGGGCAGCATTATCTGCAAGTGGCCCTGGGCTTTGCTTATGGTCCCCTCCTCTCGGGACCACCAGATGCCATCTCACACATCACCCCCCAGCATGCTGTGGCCCACCTGGGGTGCCACCTTCCCTGAGGGCACTGACTGCCTCCACCTTGTCCTTCCTGGTATGCCCAGCTCGAGGGTGAGCTGTTTCTTTTGTGGTGGCAGAGGGTTCCAGAAGGCAGCGACCTGAGGGGCAACGCTGGGGTGGGTAAGGTTATGAGGGGATCTCCAGTGGGAAGCACCCCATGCGTGAGCCCAGTGAGGGGTCCCTTGGAGAGGCAGGGTCCCTTGGAGAGGCGGGGTCCCTTGGAGAGGCGGGGTCCCTTGGAGAGGCGGGGTCCCTTGGAGAGGCCGGGTCCCTTGGAGAGGCCGGGTCCCTAGGGCTCGGCCTGCTGACTTGGGGAGGGGGAGGGAGACAGTGGCGGCCTTCGCCCCAGCTCCCCTCTGCACCCTGGGAAACCAGGAGACCCCAAGAAGGGAGAAAGTCATCCAGGCACGCACCCACTTGCCCACGTGGCCCCCTCTGCCCAGCGCTGGGTGTGCGGTGCCACTGTGCCCTCGGGTCCCGTCCGTGTACCTGGCTGGCTTCCTGCTTCCTTGACCCGCGCCACAGGCCCTTACATTGTGTACATGCTGCAGGAGGTGGACATCCTGGAGGACTGGACGGCCATCCAGAAGGTGGGCCCTGCTCACATCCTCGGCCGGGGCGTGGGGAGGGGTGTCTCGTACTGTCCCCCTCCCGTGAGGGGCACTCCCTCAGGGCTGTTGTTCCCTAACCCAGGCGCGGGCAGCCGTGTCCCCTCAGAAGAGGAAAGCAGATGGTAAGGACCGCGAATAGAGTCTACCTGCTTCTCCCCTCACCGCCAGCCCAGGCTCTGGGAAAGGGGGGCGCAGGGAGAGGTAGCAGCAGTGTCAGGACCTGCAGCCTTGTCTGGGTCCAGGAGGGGCTCAAGGGGGGCTCAGGGAGCCGGAAGCTTTGATGTGCTTGTTGCAGGGTGGGGTGCTACAGGAGCGGTGGCGACTGTCTCTCACCAGCTGATCATCCCCAGGACCCTGACCCTGTCACCCCGGTCCAGGGGATGCCTGGAGCAGCAGGTGGCCGTATGGAACCCAGGCCGTGCATTCTCTTGCTGCAGCAGACAAGGCAGACAGATGAGCCCCGAGCCCCGGAGTGGGCCCAGCTGGTTGGCTGTGGCATCGTTGCTGCTGCTGCTCCTGCTGGCTCCTCCCCTGCAGCCCCAGCTGGCACCTGTCCGCCTCCCTCTTCTGCCCTCCTCAGGCCCCCAAGCTGACCTGGGCCAGCCAAGACCATCGCCTCCATCCCTGGCCAGCTCCTCCCCTGGAGCTGCTCCTCAGTGCCCCGTCCCCACCAAGAGGGACCTTGACCTAAGCCAAAGCAACGTGATCTTCCTGCTGATCCTGGCCCTTGGCCTTCCAGCCGCAGGATGCCCCTGCAGGGAGAGCCAGAATGAGTTTTTGTTGTTTTAGGGAGGGTGTGAGGCTTATGCACCAGGCTAGAGCTGGAGGTGCAATGCCACGCTCCGCAGTTTCTCAGGGCCTACTCGCCAGGACTGGAAATAAAAACCTTCCCTGGGGCTCTGGTGTGATCTGTGTGTGTCTGATTGGTCTCACAAGGGATTTCGCCTCCGTGGGCGGCACCCAAGCCAGGCAGACCCTCTTGCAGAGGATGGTGAGGTTTGCCCTTCCTCACTGCCCGGGAGGAGCAGGGGTGCCCTGATGTAGGGTACAGGCAGCACATGGCACAGGCAGGCACATAGAGCACTGGGTGTGGCCTGCACAGGGGACTGGCCTCTGGGTTGTCTGAACCTGTCTGGTTGTTTGGCAGATGGGCAAGGCAGGCTGGCAGGTCTGTACGTGGGAGGCAGCCGGCAGCAGCACCATGTGCTAAGGACCTCCAAGCCACATTCCCCCTTCCCCCTCACCCGCCACTTAGCTGAGTGTCAGAACCACCCCCAGAACCCCAGTTAAGCAAAGGGGTTGGTTGCCATGGAGACATGGCATCTTTTCTCTATGGCAACCTGAAATTCCCCAAGCCCAGGTTGGGCTCTGAAGTGAGTCATCTGTGACCTGTAGGGGATGCTGACCCTCAGCAAGCAGACTGCTGAGCAACTGACCACCAACTGAGGGTGTCCCAGTGGCGAGGCTTTGTGGGGACCGAGCTGGGCCCCACTTAACCCCTTCCTGCCCACTTGTGGGCAGGAGACCCAGCAAAGCAGCAGGAGGAAGAAGGGAAGGAGGCGCCCCACTGCTGGGGCCCCGGGGTGTCACTAGCATGGAGGGGATCCCTGCCCCTTGGACTGACGCCAGAACAGATAGAAAGCCGGGGCCCCTGGTCAGCAGAGTGGACACATAAGAGTTAACTGGTGGGGTGTGACGGGGCGAACCGCCCTCAGGAAGTGTTACTCACCGCTGGGAGTGCGCCTGTGCCTGGGGGCTGAATTCTCTTCCTTAGTCCAGGGAGGAACCAGGAGGAGCACGGAAGCTCCCTGCCATGGAGGCACCTGGGAAGCCCAGGGCAGCCCCCTTGGCAGCACCTGGCCTGTTCAGCCTGTCCAGCGGTGGCCCTTCTGGACACTTGCCCAAAGAAAAGTTGGTGAAGCTGAAGGGTGGCCAGGTTGGGGCGGGAGGGACGGAGGAGGTGGGGGGAGAAAGCTGGCCAGGTCACCATTCTTGACCACCACAACCTGTTCCCAACTCAAGACTGGGTGCTCACCCCCATATATACACAGGCCAGCCCAGGACCCGCTGTATGATGTGCCCAACCCCGGCGGAGGCCGGCCAGGGGGGCCCCAGCGGCCAGGACGCACCGTGAGCCTTCGGGAACGCCTGCTGCTCACCCGAGCTGTGTGGCTGCAGTTGCGGGCCAATGCCGCGGCCGCCCTGCACATACTGAGGACCGAGCCACCAGGGGTGAGTCCTTCCTTGGTCCTCCCTGGGACTGACCTGCTGGTTGAGGACAAGGAGAAGGACTGGACTGAACTTCCCGGCTCCGTCCCCGCGCAGGTGTTCCTGGTGCGGAAATCCAACACCCGGCAGTGCCAGGCTCTGTGCGTGCGGCTGCCAGAGGCCAGCGGCCCCTCCTTCGTCTCCAGCCACTACATCCAGGAGCACCCAGGCGGTGAGAGGAGCTGCAGGGGGAGGCTGGGAGCTGGTAGGGAGGGGGGCATCCCCTGAGGTCCAGCTCACTTCCCAGCTCCCCCAGGCGTCTCCCTGGAAGGCTCCGAGCTGGTATTCCCTGATCTTGTCCAACTCATCTGTTTCTACTGCCAAACCCAGTGAGTCAAGCATGCCGCCTGGCAGTGCCCACCTGGGGTCCCTGGATGGGAGCGGAGGCAGCCTGGCTTCCCCGCCCCTAACTTTCTGTGCCCCTTCTGGCTCCAGGGACATCCTCCTCCTCCCGCTGCAGCTGCCCAGAGCCATCCAGCAGGCAGCCACCCACAAGGAGCTGGAAGCCATTTCCCATCTGGGCATTGGTAAGGGCCCGCCTCCATCCCGGCCACCTGCCTAGACGGGCACGTGGACATATTTTCCTCACTCCCTCCCTCCCTCTCTCTCAACCTTAGAGTTCTGGAGCTCCTCCCTCAATGTCAAGGCCCAGCAGGGCCTGCCGGATGGCCCGAGGCTGCCGCGGCTAAAGGCCCGCTCCCCACAAGAACTGGACCAGGGCACTGGGGCCGCCCTCTGCTTCTTCAACCCCCTCTTCCCGGGAGACCTGGGCCCCACCAAGCGGGAAAAATTCAAGAGGAGCTTCAAAGTGCGCGTGTCCACCGAGACCTCCAGCCCGCTGTCTCCGCCGACTGTGCCACCTCCGCCTCCGCCCGCGTTGCCACCTGCAGCAACGGCGGCTGAAAGGCTGCCCCCTTCCCGCCAGCTGCTGCGGAGGGAGAGCTCCACCGGGTACCGCGTGCCCGGAGGCGCTGGCCCCGGTCTGCCCCCACTGCCCGCCCTCCAGGAACTGGACTGCGGCTCTCCCAGCAGCTCTGAGGAGGAAGGGGCGCCCGAGCCCGGGGGCAGCCCTGCAAGCTCGCCCCGCCTGGGCCGCCGACGGCAGCCTCTACTGCGGTCAATGAGTGCCGCCTTCTGCTCTCCGCTGGCGCCCGAGCGGCAGGTGGGCCGGGCGGCCGCGGCGCTCACGCGGGACAGGCACACAGCTGTGGGCCAGCTGGTGCAGGACCTCCTGACGCAGGTGCGCGCCGGGTCCGAGCCCCGGGAGCTGCAGGGCATCCGCCAGGCGCTGAGCCGGGCCAGAGCCATGCTGAGTGCAGAGCTGGGCCCAGAGAAGCTGCTATCCCCGGAGAGGTTGGGTGAGACCCCCGGCCTGGGGGAGGGGGTGCTGGGTGGTTCGTTCGGTGCCTCCCTAACCCTGCCCTTTGCCCCGCCTCTCCCCCACTCCCCTCACCCCTGCCTGCCACCTCCCTCTGCAGAGCAGGTCCTGGAGAAGTCACTGCACCGCTCAGTGCTCAAGCCCCTGCGGCCCCTCCTGGCCACGCGGCTTCGTCGCCGGTTCTCCGCTGATGGCTCCCTGGACCGCCTGGCTGAGGGCCTGTGCGTGGCCCGCGCTCAAGGTCCTGCGGCCTTTGGGACCCGCCTGAGCCTGCCTTCCCCCGGAGAGACGGAGCAGGTGCGCCTGAAGCTGCTGCAGCTGCTCCGTACATACTCGCCCAGTGCCCAGGTGCAGCGGCTCCTGCAGGCCTGCAAGCTGCTCTACACTGCCCTGAGGGCCCAGGCGGGTAGGCCCCTTCTTACCTCCTTACCCCTCCCCTGCTTCCCCCTTTCCTGCCTGTGTGGGTCAGAGGTCCCCTGGAATCCCAGAAAGACGCAGCAACTATGGAACAATCCATCAACACATTTTGCAGATGAGGAAAACTGAGTCCCAGAGAGGGGGTGGGCGCAGCAAACCCCTTGCAGGCAGAGGAGGGGTCGCTGTCCTGAGGCCACATCTCCCTCTCCCCACAGGGGAAGGTGCAGGTGCTGCCGAGTTCCTTCCACTGCTGAGCCTTGTCCTGGCCCAGTGCGACCTTCCAGAGCTGCTGCTGGAGGCCGAGTACATGTCAGAGCTGCTGGAGCCGGCCCTGCTCACAGGAGAGGGTGAGTAACACAACACACACACACACATGGGCACACACACAGGGCACACACACACACAGTTCACACACACACGGGCACACACACAGGGCACACACAGGGCACACACACACCTGCCAGCTGGGCAGGGCTCTCTATCAGAGCTGCTGCAGCGTCCCCTCCTGCGTCCCAGGTGGCTACTACCTGACCAGCCTCTCAGCCAGTCTGGCCCTGCTCGGCAGCCTGGGCCAGACCCGTGCCCTCCCCCGGAGCCCCTCGCAGGAGCTGCAGCATGCCCTCCAGCTCTGGGAGCAGCGCCGCCTGCCGGCCACCCACAGCCTCCAGGTAACGGCCACTGCTGCCTGATTGGTCCCACCCTGCAGACCAGCTGACCAAGGCTGGACACAGCCAGGAGAGGGGCAAGGTGGTAGGCTTCGGCCCTCCCCTACCCACCCTGGTCTCCTTGCCCACCCCTGCTCTGGGACGTAGCCCTCCCACACACCCCCAGTCTTGCTGACAAGGCCAGGATCGGTCACTGTGGGAGCTTGGACCAGTTACTTTATCTCCTTAGGCCCTACGCACTGGGGTACCCACAACTTTTCTCAGTTGGTCCTCCCATGGAACGACCACACTCCCTCTGCCCCCGTGCCAGTGTGGCCCACTCTGATGGCCTCTGTGACTTGGAGCTGCAGACCGGGTAGGCAGGGCTTAGCCGCTATTCTGGCCTCTCCTTGCAGCACCTTCTCCGCGTTGCCTATCAGGACCCCAGCACCGGGTGCACGTCCAAGACACTGGCTGTGCCCCCAGAGGCCTCGATCGCCACCCTGAGCCAGCTCTGTGCCACCAAATTCCGAGTGGCCCAGCCCGACTCCTTCGGCCTCTTCCTATACAAGGAACAGGGCTACCACCGCCTGCCTGCTGGAGCCCTGGCCCATGGGCTGCCCCCCACTGGCTACCTTGTCTACCGCCGTGCAGAGTGGCCAGAGGCTCAGGAACCGGGCACTGGGCAGCCTGGAGCAGGGAGCGAGGAGGAAGGGAGAAGGGACACGGGGAGTGGAGACAAGGACAAAGCCAGATCCAGAGAGGCTGGGATCACTGCCCACCAGGCTGAGGGCCAGGCAGGGGGAGGCCCCAGGCAGCCAGGGGAGTCAGGGGAAGTGGAGAGCCAGGTAGCTGAAGAGTAGCTGGAAGGTGAGGAGTGACTGGAAGGTGAGGAGTAGCTGGGAGCTGGGAGAGTACCTGGAAAATGAGGAGTAACTAGAAGGTGGGTAGCAGCTGGAAGCCAGGAAGTAGCTGGAACATGGGGAGTTGCTGGAAGGTGAGGAGTAGCTGGAAGAGGAGTAGCTGGAAGGTAAGGAATAACTGGAAGGTGGGGAATAACTGGAACATGGGGAGTAGCTGGAAGCTGGGAGAGTACCCGGAAAGTCAGGAGTAACTGAAAGATGGGGAGTAACTGGAAGCTGGGAGAGTACCTGGAAAGTGAGGAGTAGCTGGAAGCCAGGGAGTAGCTGGAAACTGGGAGAGTAGCTGGAAGGTGAGGAACAACTGGAACATGGGGAGTTGCTGGAAAATGAAGAGTAGCTGGAAGCCAGAGAGTAGCTGGAAGCCAGAGAGTAGCTGGAAGGTGAGGAGTAGCTGGAAGGTGAGGAGTAGCTGGAAGCCAGGGAGTAGCTGGAAGGTGAGGAGTAGCTGGAAGCCAGGGAGTAGCTGGTAGTGGTCAGAGGATCATGTGGAGCAGGGACTCTGAGCCTTCTGGGAAGGCCTTCCGGAGCCGTCAGCCCCACATTCTTGGCCACCGTCGTCCCAGCTGTCCCCCATGTCTGCAGTACCCAGCTCATCCGTGAGTCCACCTGCTGGGAAGCTGGGGCGGCCACATGTGAGGAACTGGGCAAAGCGAAGGAGCCTGGGTCCCCCAGTCTTCTCACCCCATGTTCTCTCACCATAGGGCACTGGCCAGTGTGCAAGGGGGAGTGGTCAGCAGGACGGGAATCCTGAGACCAGCCTGGCTGGGTCCCCCCCCCCCCCCCCGGCACACACACTCCAGCCCAGGGTCCTTGTCTCTGAAGTGGGACACAGCTGCTGTCCTGCCAGGAGGCTCTGCCATCCAGCAGAGCTAAGACTGGGGGGAAGGGATGGGCAGGAGGGAGGTGGGGTGCCAGCAGCCCCCACCTGCTGTCCTGCCAGGAGTCTGCATCGAGCCGTGCCTTGTGTCACCCAGGCCCTGAAGGGCTACTCCCTGAGACCAGTTCCCAGAGGAGAAAACACCCGATTCCAGTCTTTCCCCAGGATTGGAAGTCCTCCCGGGTCCCACAGCCTCCTGGAGGAGCCATACAGGAAGAGTGGGTTCCCTCGTCTCCAACCCAAGCCACCTAGCGGAGCAGGTGCCAATCTGAGCAAAGAAAAGTGCTCAGCAGCAGCCACCAGAGGGCGCACAGCCCAGCCACCAAGAGGGTGATCCCCGCAGTCCTGCACCCTGGACTCCCCCAGCCACAAACCAGTGTGTGTTGGGGAAAAAGTGCGGGGTGCCACGGTCCCTCGGAGTCAGAGGTCCTGAGCAAGGCCAGCCTCGGGGGTACCCTACCTGGGAAAAGGCTGTGCCCGGGCTGCTGAACGCCGCAGAGAGATCAGCCTGTATGTCAGGCATGGCAGACACAGCCCAAGGGGCGCCCCCATTTCCCACAAGTCTCTCACTGGCATAAAGCCCCACCCTACCCGTCTCCATCTTTTTTCTTGTGTCCCCACCTCCCACCCCAGTGCCTTGGGACCCAATAAATACCGTCACTTAACCAAAGTCGGATAACCAGGACTAAGTAAAAGGCAATGAGGCAGGAATTGGGGAGGGGTGGCGGGGGAGTGTGCAGCTGGGGATCCATCCCAGGAGGGGAGGCCCTGGGACAGCTGCAGGGGTGCTGCGAAAACCCCAGGGGCCCGGATGTGCAGTTGGTCTCACGGGAACCGGCCTGCTAGGACTTGGCAAGCCCTGCCCCCTTCCCTTCCTGTGCTGACCCTGGGAATTGCAGCCGCCCCACAGTGGCTCCTGGGAGGATGGTCTGTGCAGGCCAAGTCAACATGACCAAGCTCCGTGCCCCCCAGGCAGGGCAGGGCACCCGCTAAGCCCAGGGAAAGGGGGGCTTTGCTGGGACACCACGTCCTACAACACATCCAGACACCAGTGTCTCTTGTTGACCAAGCACCAAGCACCCCCAGCCACCTCCCAAAGGTCAGATCTTGCCACCTGCTCTGCCTGCCTGCCGGGTAACCGGGGCAGTCTCTGAGAATCGCTGGGTCTTCTGGGATCCTGCCTCACCCTGTGATTCCAGGAAAAGGAAGTTGGGCTTCCCAGGGGTGATTAGCTCCTCCGTCATCGGCTGCTGCAAGGCAGGGCTGGAGCCAACATCTGTCTCCCCCACTAGCACGCCACAGTTCAGTGGGTCTTGCTCCCGGCTGCACCTCAGGACCTTGCTTGGCCCTGAGCGGAAATGGGAACTTGGTAAATGCACGTGGGCCTTTCCAGGGAGCTTTCCGGGGACACAGGGACCTGCGTTCTCTGTCGCTGCCACCAGGGGGCGAGCGCACCCCGGTCCCGGCTGCACACTGGGTCACTTTGTCCGTGGAAACAGCCCAGTGGACTTGGACTGACCCACAGCCAGGGGCCAAGAGGGAGCACTCAGTCGGGGTTCTGGGGCCATCTTCAAACAGATTGGGAATGGGGAAAGGGGGTGGCCTCCTGCACCCCCAGACTTGCTGGGCTCTCTGAGATAGCCTGGGAGGGGTGAGGTAGAATCGGGCTCTCGGCCTCAGGCCACCACCCCATCCACCCTGCCATGGCCTTGTGACCGCGTTCACACCCAGAGTTCAGCACATGCCACCACACCCTGAACCACAGGCCAGTCCCAAGCAGCTGCACCCCTCCTGCCATGGGCAGCACAGGACAGCCCAACAGCCACGCCACGTGTGCCCCACACAGTGTGGACACAGGGGCACCACGAAACTCCATGGCCATCCTCCTAGGATCCAGAGTATGCATCCAGGTCAAACCCACAGGGCAGAGGTGGACATGCAAGGACCAGGGACCCAGGACTCCTTGTCACCCTCAGACAGCGCACGCTGTCCCTGCCCTTGCTGCTAGTCCTGCGAGGGCAGGCGTGCCCACACACACGTGCTCACACAGGGTGCAGTGTGCCCACAATCCACTGCACACAGACATGCATACATACCATGCAAGTTCCAGCCCCTTTTGGGGCAACTCTGCTATCCCATTGCCGCCCCACTCCTCACCCACCGCCCCACTCCCCCAACCCAGTGCAAGGCTGAGGCGACCCCCCTGGCTGGGCAGGAGGCAGCAGCAGCGGCCCTGGGCGGGGCAGCCTGAGCTCATCAAATTCCAGCCCGGGTGATTCACGGTGTGACTGGGGAGGAGCAAGGAGGGGGCAGTGTCCCAGGGGCTGGGACGCTGGAGCCAGGGTGGGCTTTGGCCCAGAGCGTGCAAGCCTCCCGGCACGGGTGGGGCTTGCTGAAGAGGCTGGCCCTGCCTGAGGGTGCGTCTGCCGGGTGCAGCTCCTGGATGGGGCTCCAGACCATGCTACGCAGGAGCTGAACACAGAATGAGATAATGGGGCCCTTCCGGCCCGCCCCACCCCACCCTGCAGGCTCCTGACCCTGAGCTCTCCCCCAGCTCAGGCAGCCAGGGTTACGCTAAGGTTGGGGCCGTGAGGCAGACTGGCCCTCGCTGAGCATGCTGACCCGTGAGCAGGCACTGGCATGGCCCCGGGGCTGGCTGGGTTGGCGGTGGTTGTGTGTGCCTCGGGGCCGACAGGGTTACAGCCCCGCAGGGCCCTGCCCGGACGAGGCCTCTGAGTGAGCGCACACACACGGCTGTCTCAGCGCCAGGGATGCCTTGTCGCTGAGATCCCCTCCACTCCTGCCACCCCCGGAGCCCTGGCTCCCCCAGCCAGGCTGCCGCGCCGAGGAGGTGGGGCCACAAGCGCCCGGACCCAGCTGCCGGGACAGGGGACAGGCTGGGGCACCGGAAGCGCCTTTCTTGGAACTCTGCACCGAAATAGCCTGTTCTGTCTGCCTGGGTCTCCATGTCCCACGGGGCAGTGCTGGGTCACTGAGGAGAGCCTTGCCACGGAGGGGTACGGCCTGACCTACTGCTCCCTCCACCCCGTCCCTGCGTCGAGGCCTCAGCTACACTTTGAAGTCCTTAACATAAATATCATGTCTGCTTGGGTTCCCCCGGACCTGGCTCAGGGTACAGTGGTGGGAGGAGGGGCGTCCAGACCACCCAGGGATGGTGACCAGGCATCCTGGAGACAGAGGGGACAAGGCAGGGCCCCAGAGGCCCGTCTTCTGTGAAGGCAAGAGCGGAGGTGGGAGGGCAGCGCAGGGAGAGCCCCAGCACAGGAGGTGAGCAGGGAGGAAGGGGGCGGAAGACACTGAAATTTTGTGGTCAGAGGGTGAGACAACAAGACCCAGGCTGCCCGGATGGACAGTGAGGGGGCAGGAGGAAGAGGGCGTCGGACAGGAAGGGAAAGTGAGAGCCTTGGAAAGTTCCAGAGCTGGGGGCTGGTGGGGGCAGGCTGCAAAAGAGAAAGGGCCCTGGGAGAGCAGGGCCAGGGTGGAGGGCTTCCCGGACACAGGCCTGGGGACACTGAGGCCAGCCAGTCTGGGCTCTACAAACCCGGCTAGGTCAGCCACCTGGGCTTGGGGGGGAAGGAGAGGGACTCTTCGTGCGTCGCCGGGAAGGGGGAAACAGGGAGGCCCGAGTCCTGCTAGATCCTTCAGATGCGAGCCCCCAGAGTCCCTTTCTTGGGGGCAGCTGTGGCCAGATGTTCAGGTCAGGCATCCGCCAGAAGGGACCAGAGCCCAGCTGGACCCAGGTTGGGCAGTCCTAGGACAGCCAGCTGCGCCTCCCTCACAGCTGCAGGTGCAGGTGCGGGCTTGCTGGAGCATGCATGTGTCACCGGGCTATGTACACCTCTGGCCTGCCGGACAAGCTCTGTCTACCTTAGTCTTTCTGCTCTGCCGAGGGCCCCCCTTCCTAGCAACCATCTCTGGTGCCAGCTCCCCAGCACCACAGGCCCAGATCAGCCCCTTCGCACGCAGAGGCGGAAGGCGAGGGGGAGGGAGGTTCCCCTCCTCCCCGCTGCCCTGGACGGGACCTCTCCCACCCCACCCCTCCAGCTCCCACCCACCGACAGCCCCTCCTCCTGACAGCCTGGGGTGGTTTGGGAAGCATTTAGACAGGGAAGGAGGTAGGGGGATGGGGGCCGAAGGAGGGGGTTAAAGGAGGTGATGTGTACACAAAGCTATGTGCTGGCTCAGCTCGTGGCCTGCCAAGGCTCCCCAGGACGCCTGCCCAGGGGGCGCCCCCAATCACACTGGACCCCCCTCCGCCCCACCCTGGCTGGCCCATCCCCACACCCAGGACCCCCCCCACACACTCTGTATACTGTAGCCAGCAGCACCATCTGCCTCCTGCTTGGCCCAGGAGCTCCGGGCTAGGCCTCCTTCTGGGGGAGAAGCTCCTGGTATTTTTTTTTGAGGGGGGACCCTATAGAGCCAGCTCAGCTCTCCCCACCAGGGCCCACAGGCTGGGAGCCCCAGGCTCTGAGCCTTCCCTTGAGGAGCTGAATCAGCGTCTACCCCGACCAGGTGAGAACAGGAGCTGTGTGCCCCCCACCCAGGCTGCCTGGCCCTTCTCAGTTCCACCCTGAAAACGGGAGGGGGAGGAGCGCCGGGGAAGGCGGATGAGTTTGGGCCTTGCCAGCTGCTTGGACCCCTGTCCTACGAAGGCTGCGAGCAGCTCCTCACCGCCACGTGCCTTCCCGTTGTCTCCCCACCCAGCTGCTCAGGCACACCTGCACGCAGCCACCCACCCTTGTGGCTGCTCCTCCATCCACACAGCCAGCCTCCCCGGTGTACCTGGTCCCTCCCAGCCACACATCCTTGCTTTCGTTCTCAGATCATCAAGAAACATCTTCTCTTCCTTTTTAAAAAGAGATCTAGGGCCCGGCACGATGGCATAGTGGTTGAGGTCCTCACCTTGCACGCGCCAGGATCCCATATGGGCACCAGGTCTGATCCCGGCGGCCCCCACTTCACATCCAACTCCCTGCTTGTGGCCTGGGAAAGCAGCGGAGGATGGCCCAAGGCCTGGCTTCGGATTGGCTCAGCTCCAGCCATTGCAGCCACTTGGGGAGTGAATCATCAGACAAAAGATCTTCCTCTCTGTCTCTCCTCTCTGTATACCCACCTTTCCAATAAAAATAAAACAAGTCTTAAAAAAAAAATCTATTGAAAAGACAAAGTGACAGAGCGACAAGGGGAACGGAGAAGAGAGCTCCAAAGTTGCCACAGCAGCGGCTGGACCAGAGCCAGGAGCCAAGAACTCCACTGGAGTCTCCCACGTGGGTGTCAGGGGCCCAAGCTGTGGCCCATCTTCTGCTTCCTAGGGGCGCTGGCAAGGAGCTGGCTTGGAAGCAAAGCAGCTGGATCTCGAATGGGTACTTATGTGGGATGCCTGCATTGCAGGTGGCTTTAACCTGCTGTCCCACGGCACAGGGCCCAATGAGCAAACACACGCTCTGTGCCGCGCATGAATCAAAGGAAGTCAGGGATCGCCACCAGATGAACCGGAAGAATAAGACCCAGACCCACCAGTGCCAGGCGTATGGTCTCCCCCGTGCCATCTCAACCCTACCTGGGCACCCAGGGGGCATGTCCATGTCTGTCTCTGTTCATCCACCTTTGCTGGAAGCACAGGTCCCCACTCTGCCCATCCAAGGCCCTGGTCCAAAATTCCCGACTCTGCTGGCCAGCACACCCAACCTGCACATCTTCCCCCATAGCCTTGCTGCGCCTGTGGGCCCCCAAATCCCCTCACCCGCCTGGAGGCTGGGGGCCTGACCTTGACCCACCCACCCACCCACCCACTTGCCAGACGGGGCCTGCTGCTTCCCCTTGGCTGCCCCAGTGCTGGCCATGGTCTGAATCATGCCTGGGCCAGCCACACCCTTGGAGCGGGCTCAGGACCGCCCCTGAGGAGCCTCCAGAGGCTGCCTCCCCCAGCCGGCCCGCCCTGCTGCCCAGCTCCCAGCCAGCTCCTTTCCCTTTCCCAGACGATTGCAACAGCCTCCGGACGGTCCCCGGCTGTGGGTGCCTCCACCCGTGCTGCCTGGCGTGCCATCATCCATCCATCCATCAGGTGTCTCCTGCACCCCTGCTTGTCTCTCCTGCAGCTCCCCCTGCAATCTCCATGAAGACCTCTGTATTCACCAACACTTCCTGGGCCCACACCTAGGTGCTGCTTTCCAAGCCGGGCCTCCTTCTTGGCCTGTCTTCCTCACTAATTCTGATGTCATCCTCAATGAGGCAGGGCAAGCCTAAAAGGCCGGGTGAGCATCAGAGTGCCTTGGTCCACAGCCCTGCCTGGCAATCCGTACCTCTGTTTCCCCACTGGCAAAAAAGTTCGCTGAAGGCCAGGGAGTGCCCAGCTCCAAGGCGGTGCCCCTTCCTGGATGGGAGGGGAAGGTGGGCAGAGTGTGTGAGAGCAGCAAATGAGACTTGAAGAACCCCAGCTCCACCCTCCTCCCCTTCCCCCCCAGCTACATCAGTTCTTCATCCATTGAGTCCCATTCATTCAATCATTTATTCAACCACTTCCCAGGCTCCTGGGATACAACAGGGGTCAATGGGCGGAGCTTGACCTCCTGGGTACCCGGGACACAGCTGCTTCTGTGCAACGTGTCATTTCACAATACCTGGGGACATTTTCTTTCCCTCCCCCCTTTTTTTTAAAGATTTATTTATTTTTGGCCCCGGTGCAGTGGCCTAGGGCTAAAATCCTCACCTTGCACGCACCAGGATCCTGTATGGGCGCCAGTTCTAATCCCAGCAGCCCTGCTTCCCATCCTGCTCCCTAATTGTGGCCTGGGAAAGCAGTCGAGGACAGCTCAATGCTTTGGAACCCTGCACCCGCGTGGGAGACCTGGAAGAAGTTCCCGGTTCCTGGCTTCAGATCGGCACAGCACCGGCCATGTGGTCACTTGGGGAGTGAATCATCGAACGGAAGATCTTTCTCTCTGTCTTTCCTCCTCTCTGTATGACTTTCCATTCAAAATAAATTTTTTTTTAAAAAGAGAGAGAAAGAAGGAAAGACAGAGAGGAAGATCTTCCATCTGCTGGTTCACTTCCCAAGTGGTTGCAACCGCCAGAGCTGAGCCAACCCGACATGAGGAGCCAGGAGATTCTTCTTGGTCTCCCACACGGGTGCAGGGTACCAAGGCTCTGGGCCGTCCTCGACTGCTTTCCCAGGCCACAAGCAGGGAGCTGGATGGGAAGTGGAGCATCTAGGATACAAACTAACGCCAATATAGGATTCCAGGATGTGCAAAGCAAGGGCTTTGGTCATTAGGCTACTACAATGGGCCCTTTTAAAAGATTTTATGATGGGTCAGGCACAGTGGTCCAACTGGCTACTCCTCACCTTGCGAGTGCTCTCTCTCTGTTCTCCTTTCTGTAAATCTGATCTGCCTCTCCAATAAAAATAAATCTTTTTAAAAATTCTGTGATGTGGCTTCACTCTCCAAATGGCAGTGATGGCCAGGTCAGTGCCAGAAGCCTGGAGTTCCTTCCCGTCTCCCACTTGGGTGGTAGGGACCCAAGCACTTGGGCCATTTCTCTTGCTTTCCCAGGCATGTTAGCGCGGACCTGGATAGAAAGTGGAGTAGCCAGGAACTCACACCAGTGCTTCCATGGGATACTGATGTGGGCCGCAGCTTACCCCGCTGGTTCCTGGGGATGTTTTTTGATTGTCCCAGCTGGAAGGAATGCCATCAGAATCCGGGCGGAGGCCCAGGATAGGCTGAGCAGAAACAGTCACCCAGCCCTGAATGTAATTCTGTGAGGAAGCTTGGGTGACGGAGTTCAGGCCATAAGCAATCAGTGAGCAATGCTGGGGAGCGCAGGTCCGAGGCCAGGTCACCCTGGGACTCCGGGACCTTGGCCAGAGCCGGAGAAGGTGAGGAACAACAGCGGGATTCTCCAGGGAGAGCACGATGGCTAGGGGGCCGAGGGACAGCTAGGTCAAGGCCCTGGGGTTGCGAGTCCACCCGGGCAAAGGGGAAGAGAGGGGAGGGCGGGCTGGTTGGGGGCAGATGCTTCTCCCTCGCTCTGAGCAGAGGAGGGGCTGGAGCTGATTTAAGTTGGAGGGGGTCCCTCGGGCAAGATGGAGGAGGCAGGGGAGAGGTAGGTGGCAGGGGCTGGGGGTGGCAGCAAGAAATGGTCAGATTTGCCAAGAGGTTGAACAAGGGGTGTGGGAGAGAAGCCTGAGGGGGACCCCAGGGCTCGGGGCCTGAGCCGGTGGGAGGACAAACTGCCCTGTAAAGTGGAGAGGGAACTTCTGGGGCTGGAGCAAGTGCCGTGTGAGTTCTCGACTCCCCAGTTCTCAGGGAGCCGGGCTGGCGTGCGAGGCCACTCCCCTCCCCCAGGTACTGTGAGCTGGCTGTGGAAGCCGAATGTTCTGTAGCCCGCCGTGCTCAAAGCCTGGCACATCTCACTCTCGTGTTGTAGATGAGAAAAAACGGTGGCCCAGAGAAGGCAGTCATCTCCCTGAGGTCACACAGCAGATCCGTGACCCAGTGGGAAGCCGACCAGGGCAATGTCCAGAGGGACAACCCCCCAACCTCGCAACACATACCCCCTCTCCTACCAATGCAGAAGTGGCCAGTGCTGTGGGCGTGGGCAAGTTTGCTTGCCAGCTGGTTCCCCAGAGGCCTGCCTGGGTGTTGGACGGGTCTTCCATGTGCCTCTGAGAGGGGTGGGAAGAGCAGCGTGACCACAGCCCATGCAGCAGGCCCTGGAGGCAAGGGCCCCACACACATGCTGCCCATGTCACACACCTCTGTATGTCACTGTGTGCTCCATGCCCATACATGGCTCCCCACCCAGCGCGGCCCAGCCCCCACTCGCCCCTCCCCCACCCAGCCTGCCCTCCTGCAGCAGGAGCTCCAAGAGGCATTTCCTGTCCCAGACCGCCTTACCCTGCAGTCCAGGTTCCCAGGGCCCCAGGCTGCGCAGGGGTGAGGGAAGGGCAGTCCCTGGCTCCCTGCCCATCTCCCCCCACGCAGGCCGGGCTGGAGCCCACAGGCTTGGGGGCAGAGTGGGTTGAGGACAACACTCCCTGGACATGTGAGGGGTTAGGATTGCCCAGGCCTATGGGCTCAGGCTGGTCCCACGTGGGCCCTGTTGCTGCCAAGCACAGCAGCCAGCCAAGCAGAAGGTTTCATTGGGGCTTAGCATGTCAGGATGTGGGCCCTGTATGCTTAGCATGTCAGCACATGTACCACAGAGAACTAACATGTCAGAACATATGCTCCTGTGCATGTCAGAGCATGTATCCCTGGGTGCTTAGCATGTCACAACATGTGCGCCGGGGAAGCAGGTCTCAGGCACATGAGTGTCATCCAGACACACAGGGTTCCCTGCATGACACTCTGAGAGCTGCCCTGCGTGGTGCTTGGAGACATGTGCACCGGGCTGTGATGTGGCTGGCACGAGCGTGGGTGTCAGGAGCTTGCATTGTCGCCCTTGCTGGCCTGGAAGTGACCTCAGCCGTAAGACCTGCAGCCCTCAGCCCCAGACTGAGCCCAAGCTTCCTGGGTCTGGCCGCCTCAGCAGGCAGGCGTTTCCCTGCTCCCTGACTCCCAGCCCTGTGGGGCCTGGGGCGGCCCTTAGCTGTGCCTCCTTTCCTCCCCTGCCCCCTCCCCACCCCGACACCCCCACCCCACTGCTTCCTGCTCCAGCAGGCCCCGGGGGAGTGGGAGCAGGGAGCTGGCAGCCGCCCCAGCCCACTCCTTACAAGGTCTGAGCCCGGCCCCGGCCCGCCCCCCGGCCCGCCTGCTGGAGGCCCCAGTCCCTCCCCCTGTCAAGAGCGGCTGCCGGCCCTGGGCCCGGCCAGTCGGGGGGCGTCGCGATGCTGCTGCGCCTGCTGCTGGCCTGGGCGGCCGCGCTGCCCACACTGGGCCAGGCCCCCTGGGCCACCGAACCCCGTGCTGCCTGCGGCCCGAGCAGCTGCTACGCCCTCTTCCCGCGTCGCCGCACCTTCCTGGAGGCCTGGCGGGCCTGCAGGGAGCTAGGAGGTGACCTGGCCACGCCACGGAGCCCTGAGGAGGCCCAGCGTGTGGACAGTCTGGTGGGTGCCGGCCCGGCCAGCCGGCTGCTGTGGATTGGGCTGCAGCGGCAGGCGCGCCAGTGCCAGCCCCAACGCCCGCTGCGCGGCTTCACATGGACCACGGGAGACCAGGACACGGCTTTCACCAACTGGGCTCAGCCCGCCACGCCGGGACCCTGCCCAGCCCAGCGCTGTGCAGCCCTCGAGGCGAGCGGTGACCATCGCTGGCTGGAAGGCTCATGCACATTGGCTGTGGATGGCTACCTGTGCCAGTTCGGCTTTGAGGGCGCCTGCCCAGCACTACCGGCAGAGGCGGGCCAGGCCGGCCTGGCCGTCTACACCACGCCCTTCCACCTGGTCTCCACGGAGCTGGAGTGGCTGCCCTTTGGCTCTGTGGCAGCCGTGCAGTGCCAGGCAGGCAGGGGGGCGTCCCTGCTGTGTGTGAAGCAACCCACTGGCGGTGTGGGCTGGTCCCAGGCTGGGCCCCTGTGCCCGGGGACCGGCTGCGGCCCGGACAACGGGGGCTGCGAGCATGAGTGCGTGGAAGAGGAGGATGGCCAGGTGTCGTGCCGCTGTGCCGAGGGCTTCCGGCTGGCGGCGGATGGGCACAGCTGCGAGGACCCCTGTGCCCAGGCGCCCTGCGAGCAGCAGTGCGAGCCCGGTGGACCACAGGGCTACAGCTGCCACTGCCGTCTGGGTTTCCGGCCTGCTGAGGATGAGCCGCACCGCTGCGTGGACACGGACGAGTGCCAGATCGCTGGGGTGTGCCAGCAGATGTGTGTCAACTACGTCGGGGGCTTCGAGTGCTACTGCAGCGAGGGGCACGAGCTGGAGGCGGACGGCATCAGCTGCAGCCCCGCGGGGGCCATGGGTGCCCGGGCTTCCCAAGATCTGGAAGAGGAGCTGCTGGGTATTGGCGGCGAGGATGATGAAGACGAGGAGGAGGAGACCTGGGAGGACTTTGATGGCGCCTGGACTGATGGGCCTGGCTTCCTGTGGCTGGAGCCCACGCAGCTGCCTGACTTCGGCCTGGCCTACAGCCCTGGCTTCTCAGAGGACCAGGGGCCGCCCAGACCCCACCTGGAGCCCACCTGGCCACCCCCGCTCAGTGCCCCCAGGGTCCCCTCCCACTCAGTGCTCTCTGTCACCCGGCCTGCAGTGGTCTCGACCACACGCCCCACACCACCTCCCTCCCACCCACCTCCCATTCTCTCTGCCACACGCCCAGCCCTGGCCCCTGCTCGTCAGCCCTTGGGGAACCCTGCCACATACCCAGCTGTGCCCCGCAATCATCAGATCCCTGGGATCACAGACAACTCCCCAGCACAGCGCCCTGCCCCCCGCCCCCCACTGACCGCAGCCCGATACCCTGATCTCTATCCCGTGTTTCCAGACACGGAAGTTTCTGATGCCCGGACCACGGTTCACCCAGCCCTAGGACCAGCTGATCCTGCCCCTGTGGTCACCACTACTGGTGCCCATCAGCGCCCTCTGACCTCAGATGGTCCCATAGCCAGGACTCAGGCCCCCTGGCTTCCTGTCATTCCCACCGTCCAGCCCTCTCCTCCACTCCCTTCCAGGCCCCTGGGGCCCCCTCACCCTCAAGCCCCTGTACCCGCTGCTACCCGGCCCGCAGCCCTCCCCTCCAGCAGCCTGCTCCCTGACATCCCCACTAACCAGACCTCACCTGTCAATCCTTCACGGCCCCTTTCCAGAGCCCCCCAAGTCCCACAAGGAGGTGGCCCCCAGCCCACCGCAGCCCCGACGGCCCTGCTGGAGGCTGGCCTAGCAGGCCATAGCCGGAGGGATGATCGCTGGCTGCTGGTGGCACTCCTGGTGCCCACATGTGTCTTCCTGGTGGTCCTGCTTGCACTGGGCATCGTGTATTGCACCCGCTGTGGCCCCCACGCATCCAACAAGCGTGTCACCGACTGCTATCGCTGGGTCACCCATGCTGGGAACAAGGGCCCCACGGAACCCACACCTCCACGGGGAAGCCTCACAGCGGTGCAGACCTGCAGAACCAGTGTGTGACGGGTTGGGAGATGGGGCGTGCACTGGACACAGGGACCCACGGGAGCTGCCTACCCCCGGACAGAGGGCTTCCCGCCCCACCCCACCCCTGGGCCCTCGGCCCAGCACTCAGGACACGGACAGACACACCAAGGCCCCCCCCCCCCCGCGGACCTTGGGGCGGGGAGCGGGGCTGGGGTCTCCTCCAATAAATGGGGTGCTGACCTCACCCAACAAGAGCTCCTGACCCCCACTGGTGGCTGAGGGGACAGCCTTGGGGTAGGGGACTCGGAGAAACGGAGGTGGCTTGTCTGGGCAGACACAACCTTGCCCAGGGCTGCACAGCCAGCCAGAGGGTGAGGTCTAGAGTGGGGGTGAATCCTGTCTGTGTTTCTCCTCAGAGAAGGTGGGGCTGTCCCCAGGGAGGTTCCTGGAACCTGGGCCAGATCAGGGTTGAGGGTCAAAGGTAGGCTCTGGGACAGAAAGGAGGGGGATCCTGTGGCATTCTAGCACCTGGGCTTTGGATGACCCTCCCTTGGGCTGCTCTTGGGAAGCAGGGAGCCTGAAGGCTGGGAGCCAGGGAGCAGGGACCCAGGACAGGAAGAGGAGCTGGTCATTGGGCACAGCATGAAAGGCAGGGGGGGGTGTCCAGGGCCCACGGCCTTGGGGCAGCCGAGGGGACCCAGGCCAGGCGGCGCCGGTTCCCACCGCCTCTGTAATTTTTCCTGCTGCAGCGTCTCTGGGGCCTCTAATTAGGCCAGGGCAGTCGCCGCGACCACCCGGACAGGCAAGCCGGGGTGGTGGCCGGCGCCCCCGTGGAGCCCTAAGCCACCTTCTGGCCCACTGGTGGCTGAGGGGACAGCCTGGGGTAGGGGGCGTTGGGCAGGGCTGAAATGGGGCTCAGGCGACGGGAGCGGTGGGTCCGGAGCTGAAGACGAACCCGGGGGGTCCCGGAGGGAGGGAGGCCCACGGCCCGCCCCCGGCCCCCAGCCCTCACGTTCCTCTAACTCGAACCAGACGCCCCTGCCGGCTCCTGCCCAGCTTTTAACTTCGGAAACGCCGCCGGGGAGGCAGGCTGGGTGGGAGTCGGGGAGCCGTAGGGTGGCCTCGACTCCTGGGTCGGGGAACGCAAGTTTCGGGCGTCGTACTAGGCGTGACGAGACTCCCCGGGGAGCGGGAAGGAAAGGCCAGGCGCGGCCTCGAGTGACCCGGGCCAGCGGACCCCCAGCGCCTCGAGGGCAGGAAGGAGTTAAAGGCACCGCAGTCGGAGGGGGGTTGGGAGTGGGGCAGGGGGCCCAGGGCCGGCTCTTTGTCATCCAGTAATGAGCACCAGATGCGGAGCTGCGTGCGGGCCGAAACACACGGCCTCCCGGGCCAGCCTGCCCGCCCGCGCCCGGCCCCGCCCACTGGCCAGCGGCCCCGCCCGCGGAGCCAGGAGCCCCGCCCACAGCCTCGCGAGGCCCCGCCCTTCGCGAGGCCCCGCCCCCCACGCCCGAGTGCCCGCCGACCCGCCCAGGTGTGCCGCTCAGCCGCCCGAGGTACGAACTCCGCCCAGAATTCACACTCTTGCGTCACGTGCCCCGCCCAACAGATCGGCGAGCCCCGCCCCTTCAGGCCGCCCGTGAGGCGACCCGGAATTCCTCAGCCCTCCAAGCCAGGCCCGGTGCAAGCTCCGCCCTCAAGTCCCCTCAGTCGCCTCTGCCGCCACGCGTTCCCCGAGCCCTCTCAGACGACTCCGCCCACTCAGGGCGAACACGCCCACTCAGCGTCCCGCTTCCAGGAACGCCCACTAACCGAGCCCTCAAGCCCCGCCCCGATGGGCCTTTAGGTCCCGCCCCCGCCAGCGTCCACCTCTGGAAATTACGCTCATAAGCATCGCCTACGCAGTTGTAACCCCAGCCTCCAGGCTCCTCCCCCTGCTAGGAGATAACCCCGCCCCCGAGGGAGCTCCGCCCTCCCGCCCATAGCCCCGCCTCCCGGGAGGCTCCGCCCCCGGGCACGCGTCCCGCTGCCTCCGGGCCTCGGGGTGAGTTCAGGTTCGGTCGTTTCGGCCCGGGCCGCTCCCGAACCCGGTGCCGGTCCCCTTCCCGTGTCCCCGCCGTCTACGCTCGTCCACACTCCATTTTCCGGACGGAGCCGGAAGGGCGGCGTGCTGGGAGCGGGTCGTGAGCGCCGCCTGCCGTCGACGCGGCCCCTCCAAACGTGCCCGCTCGCTCCTGTATTTTTTGTTTTTCTCATTTGTCAAGAGTTGTGTCACCTGGACAGAAGTGCCGACTGCGCACGGGGGTGGGGGTCTCGTCATCGCTGGACGTCTGTCCCCATGGGGGCTTCACCCTGCGCGCTGCTCGCCGCTGGGCCCTCCTGCTGTCCCTCCCTGGGGGCTCTCCGGTCGCAGCCTCTCCCACCCCGAGGCCCAGATCGCCAGGACCCGGCTTCCCTTCCCTGCGAGCAGGCGAGGCCGCCGCTTCCCCGTCTTCCCCGGGCCGGGAGCTGGAGGTCCGAGTTGCTGTTCAGAGGTGTTTGGTGGGGGACAGTGCCTGGGCGGGGTCTGGGGGCGGACTGTGCAAACGCTGCCTAGGGTGCCTTGCTGGTTCCCAGGCCCGCGGAGGTCACGTTCTGCCCACGAGGTGAAGGGCCGCGAGATTCAACTTTGCCCAGACTCTAGAACATACATTTTTTTAGTAAGTTTTGTTTAGGATTTATTTATTTATTTATTTTTAGAGATTTATTTATTAAATTGGAAAGTCAGATATACAGAGAGGAGGAGAGACAGAGAGGAAGATCTTCCGTCCGATGATTCACTCCCCAAGTGACCCAAGCTGCCGATGCTATGGCAGTCAGAAGCCAGGAGCCAGGAACTTCTTCCAGGTCTCCCACACGGGTGCAGGGTCCCAAGGCTTTGGGCCGTCCTCGACTGCTTTCCCAGGCCACAGGCAGGGAGCTGAATGGGAATTGGGGCTGCTGGAATTAGAACCGGTGACCATCTGGGATCCCGGTGCATTCAAGGTGAGGACTTTAGCCACTAGACTATTGTACTGGGTCCAAACATAAATTTTCTTCCTTCACAAATCTTGCATCTCAAGCATTCCACCACCACAGCTATGGAACCCAGACCAAGCCAGCTGGGGCCAGCTGGCTTGACCTGGATTTTGGAGGTCAACCAGTGGACCACTCTCATCCCCTGGGTCACCCCCAAAATGCCCACAATGTCTGGGCCTGAGCTGGGGCCAGTAGCAGGAGGTGGTACCCACAATGTGGCTCTTCCACGTGGACGGCAGGGACAGCCAGTGGCTTGAGTCCATCCTTGTCCTCGAGGTGTGCATGAGCCGGAAACTAGACTCAGTAGGGAGAGCTGGGAATCCAACCCAGTGCCTTGACCCATGCACTCTGCACCTGCTACCTGCCACAGCCTTTTAATTTATTTCTTTATTTTAAGATTTTGTTGTTGTTGTTGAAAGGCAGAACCACAGAGAGGAAGATCTTCCATCCTTTGGTTCACTCCCCAAGCACCCACAACAGCTGGAGCTGAGCTGATCTGAAACCAGGAGCCAGGAACTTCATCCAGGTCTCCCACATGGGTGCAGGGTCTCAAGGCTTTGGGCCGTCCTCCACTGCTTTCCCAGGCCACAAGCAGGGAGCTGGATGGGAAGCGGGGTGACCTGGATTAGAACCGCGCCCATCTGGGATCCTGGCCTATGCAAGTTGAGAATGTTAGTCACTAAGGCCAGGGGCCCCCACAGCCTTTTGTAACACAGTCCTGTTGTGTTTCAAAAATGTTTCTTTTTTAAAAGATTTATTTATTTGTATTGGAAAGTCAGATACACAGAGAGAAGCAGAGACAGAGAGGAAGATCTTACATCCGATGATTCACTCCCCAAGTGAGCGCAATGGCTGGTGCTATCCCAATCTGAAGCCAGGAACTTCCTCCAGGTCTCCCACGCGGGTGCAGGGTCCCAAGGCTTTGGGCCGTCCTCAACTGCTTTCCCAGGCCACAAGCAGGGAGCTGGATGGGAAGTGGAGCTGCCAGGATTTGAACCAGTGCCCATGTGGGATCCTGGCGTGTTCAAGGCAAGGACTTTAGCCACTAGGCTAGTGTGCCAGGCCCTAAATATTTATTTATTCATTTTTATTTGAAAGGCAGAATTACAAAGAGAAGGAGAGAGAGGCGAGAAACAGGGAGATCTTCCACCTCCGCAGGGGCCACCGCAGCTGGGGCTGGGCCAGGCCAGAGCCAGGAGCTTCATGTGGATATCCGACAGATGGATGCAGGAGCCCAGGCACGTGGTCCATCCTTTGCTGGGTTCCCAGGCACATCAGCAGGGAGCTAGATTGCAAGTTGAACAACCAGGACTAAACCAGGCACCCAAACAAGACGCTGTCCCCACAGAGGGATGCTTAGCTTACTGTGCTACAGCACTAGTCCTCAAACAAATATTTTTTCTAAGATGCATTATTATTATTATTATTTTGGAAAAGCATATTTGCAGAAAGTAGGCGAGAGAGAGATCCTCCCTCTGCTAGTTCACTCCCCAAATGGCCACAATGACCAGAGCTGAGCAGATCCCAAGCCAGGAGCTGGGAGCTTTTTCTGGGTCTCCCACATGGGTGTAGGCTCCCAAGGCATTAAGCTGTCTTCGACTGCTTTCCAGGCCAAATGCAGGGAGCTGGGTGGAAAGTGGAGCAGCCGGGACACAAACCAGTGCCCATTAGGGATCACGATGCTTGAAGGGTAGGATTAACCAATTGAGCTATTGTGCTGGGGCCCTCTCCTTTCCTGCTTTTTAAGAAACCCTATGGACCCGGTGGCATGGCCTAGCGGCTAAAGTCCTCGCCTTGAACGCACCAGGATCCCACATGGGCGCTGGTTCTAATCCTGGCAGCTCCACTTCCCATTCCAGCTCCCTGCTTGTGGCCTGGGAAAGCAGTTGAGGACGGCCCAAAGCCTTGGGACCCTGCACCCGCGTGGGAGACCTGGAGGAAGTTCCTGGCTTCAGTTTGGGATAGCACCAGCCATTGCGCTCACTTGGGGAGTGAATCATCGGATGTAAGATCTTCCTCTCTGTCTCTGCTTCTCTCTGTGTATCTGACTTTCCAATACAAGTAAATGAATCTTAAAAAAAAAAAAAAAAACCCTCTATAATAAGGAAACAGACCACTCCCCCAAAAAGACTAACCTCTCCCATGAGAGTTAGAAATATTTTTAAGGTCCCAGCATGATGGCCTACTGGTAAAGTCCTCGCCTTGAACACGCCAGGATCCCATGTGTGTGCTGGTTCTAACCCTGCAGCTCTACTTCCCATCCACCTCCCTGCTTGTAGCCTAGGAAGGCAGTGGAGGACGGCCCAAAGCTTTGGGACCCTGTACCCGTGTGGGAGACCTGGAAGAAGCTCCTGGCTCCTGGCTTCGGTTTGGCTCAGCTCTATCCATTGTAGCCACTTAGGCAGTGAACCAACAGATGGAAGATCTTCCTCTCTGTCTCTCCTCGTCTGTGTATATCTGGCTCTCCAGTAAAAATAAATCTTTAAAAAGAATAATAAAGAAAGAGTCTGGTTGGAGCTGGAAGGGCGCAGCTGTGAACAAGTGAAGCTAAACAGCTGTGGGTGCAGAGGACCAGCAAAAGGCTTCCTTGCCACATCTCATGACTTCGGTACCTTTGCCCTTTGCCCTTTGCAGAATCCACAGCTGAAAATGAGGATGTGGTTGTCATGCAGACTCTGGCAGAGCATCCGAGTGGGCGGATCCTTGCTGACCCAAAGGCAGACAGAGGACGGGCCAGGGCAGGGCCGGGGATTGGAAGTTGGCGGTTCCTTTTGGTCATGCATGCTATTGTATAGACTGTCAGGCTTCAACTGGGGAACAGACAGGAAGGCCTCTGGGTACGAGGCTCCAAGCCCTTTCTTAGGTGCCAGCGTGAGAGACTGAACACACACACACTTTTGGGGCTCAGGGGACCAAACATGGGTGCCGCCCCTCGGACCCTTCCCTGCCTGGCTGTGTAGCACCAGTGCCCTCCCCACCAGGCAGCAAGTGTGCCCATGGCTTTGTTAGCCAGTGCTGGGGGGCATGGGACAGATCACCCCTGTGTCTGGTGGCTACAAGCAGCTTCACCATTTTACGGTCTCACTTCGGGCTGGGATCAGTTGGTGGCTGCTCTGCTGATTTCTTTCTTTTTTTAAATTTCTTCTTTTTTTAAAAAAAATATTGTTTACAACAGTGAGAAGGGTGGACGCCCATGTGGGTCTCTGATGAGTGTGTGGGGGTACAGGTACAGAGCAATGGCCGTGGGACACGAGTTTCAGTCCTTTTTTTTTTTCCTGTGTGCATAGGGAGGAGGAGAGGAGACTGCTGCTTGCTTTCAAACAATGTCAGTACCTGAGGATGGGGGACGGCGCTTTGATGACGCCTTCAAGACCCCCGTGGGAGGAAGAGTTCCCAGGGTTACCTGAGTGGTTTTGATAGTTCTGAGACATTGCTGGTTTCACTCCTCCAGGGTTGAAAAAGTCTTTCCAAGGTCTCCTGATTGAGCAAGTCCACCTCAGTGTATCCACAGACCCCGGAACATGCTGCGAAACCGGGCTACTAGGAGTGGTCCACCTGCTTTCTGTCCGGGCTGTACGAGCTGGCTGTCATGTCCCACGTGTGCAACTGGACATACTGTCCACCTCACGCGTGTCAGCAATGAGGAATCCCAGTCCTGATACACGCACTCCAAGGTTAAACCACACGTCCTGTGATTTTCCCTGTGGCTGGGGTTTTCAGTTCAGTGCTTTAATTGGGGAATCCCAAGAAACCTCAGACTTGACTTATGCGTGTGCCAGCCAGTGCAGGGTCAGGTGCCATCTGTCACCCGCACCAGTCAATGTTTACAGGGTGGATGCAGCTGCTAGTCAGTTCCTCCCTCAGCCCGACACCTCAGATGAACTGATGGGTACTGTGGCCCAGCCCAGCCAGCCTGCCACAGACTGGATCCTCACACATACCAGTGGGTGCCACGGCCTAGTCAGGGCAACCCTAGTAACCTCTACCAGGTATGCTCCCAGTCCTGGTTTTTGTGTATACCAGCCTCTGCTGAGGTCTAGCTCATCCCAGCCCATCTCCCATCCAGCTCTCTTATGCCCCCGTGGGTGATGCAGGTCAGCTCAGCCCCCAAACTGCCCCCAGACCTCATGTATACCAAGAGGTGCCGTTGCTGCCGTATCCATGCTGGCCTGCCCCCAGTCCTGGTTCTCATGTGCTTCAGCAGGAGCTGCAGCCCAGCAGGGGAGAGCCCGCAGTTTACCTGCCAGGCAAACTTTTCAGCCGTGGATCTTGTGCCTGCTAGGGGGTACTGAAGTCCAGCCTGACATGACTCGCACCTGGTCCCAGCAATTGCCAGCTGGTGTTACAGCCTTGCCTGGCTGGCCACTCCCATTCTGGGTCTTGAGCATGCCAGCAGGCACAGCAACCTAGCTCAACCTGGCCCGCTCCCAGTTCCAGTTCTCAGCCTAGCTAGGGAGTCCCCAGAGTTCCCTTGCCAAGCCTGCTCCCTGCCCTGGTCTTGTGTGCCCCATGGCCTGGGAGAGTCCCACCCCTCCCAGCCCCCTGCTGCATGCCAGGGCTTGTCATGCGGTCCCAGGAGGCTGGCATCTACTTCCCAGTACCCTGACTGCAGCTGTGACAGTGCCACTCCAAAGCACCTGTCCCAGCTCCCTTGGCAAGGCCCTTTCCCTGTCTCTCACCTATCTCCCATGCTAGACTGCCCGTATCTGGAACCGGCTACTCCTGGCTGCATGTCCCCCGCCCCCTGCATCACAATCCGCTCAGTGCCCAGACCTCATCAACAGCCCGTGAGGAACTGAACTTGCATGTTGCGGGCCGGAGCTCCTGCTGCCCATGCTGGGCACCAGCCAGTGACACAGGAGAGGACACAGCCTCAAAACAGACCCAACCCGAAGGCCAGGGTCTCGTGGAACAACCACTCACTGGGACCCACACCTGAATCTACGCGGTGGGTGGCAACAACGACCACTTTGTGCGTCTGGGTGGGGTGGAAGGAGGGTCCCACTGTGGCCGCAGCCCAGGCAGGAAGGGTCCAGCAGCAGGTCCCCTCCCTGCCCCGGCTCAGCCCCTGGGAAGGCTGGAGGCAGCATGGAGGCGGCCCTAGGTCCTCCACAGGAACACATACACATGAGAAGAGTTTGTGTTTCATACCTTTATTTAATCTGCTGCTTCCCTGTTGCCTCCCTCCCTAGCTGGCCCTGGTGGGGTGAGATGTGGAAGGCCCCGTTATCGGGGGTGGGGTGGAGGAGAAGGGGTTGCTCTGTCTTCCACGGGAGAGGGACAGTGTCCCCCAGGCTGTGTGGGGGGTCAGCCTCCCCTGATGGGAGAAGTGGGGGACTTCCCATGGCAGGGCCAGGGCATTGTCCAAGAGGCCACTGCAGCCAAGGCCAGGCGGGCCCCTCGAATGCCCTGGGGTCCCCAGGGCGGTAAAGGGGCAGAGAACTGCATTGGAATAGTACACAGCTGCCCAGCTGGGGCTGTGTGCCCGGGGGACAGAGTCTGATGATGCAGGACTTCCAGTGGGGGCTGTCTGTGGGGGACGAGGTGCAGGGGCAGCTGGATGGGAGGGGGCTGTGCTTCAGGACCCTTCGGAGGGTCCGCACCTCAGGGGCTTGGCAGGGCAACCTGGGGCAGGGAGAGGGGCCACCTCCAGCTGGGCGTGACCCCAAACCACCGCTTTGTGCTTCTGGGTTGCTGGGGGGAGGGGAGGGGGATCCCACTGCAGCCTCAGCCAAGGCAGAGAAGGACCCACCATCAGGGCTCCTCCCCCCGCCCAGCATATCTGGAAACTTCTTGCCCTGCCCAGTGTAGGAGGCCTCCCTTCCCTCTCCCTGGCCAGCTCATCTGCTGTCACAGGGGCTGAAACGAGGTTGTGACGCCGTAGGAGGCAGGCTGGCGATTCCACTCCCCGAAAGGTGCCCAGAGCACCCCCACCCCCGGTCTGGGCCACCTGCTTAGACGTCTGCGTCCTCGCACGAGTGGGGAAGCGGGGAAGAGACTGCTCCGGACCCCGTGCGCGTGAGGTGGGGGCGTCTCAGAGCGCGCCCTGCCCGTCTCCCCGGCAGCCGCTGTCCCCGTGGACGATGAGCACCGGGAAGTAGAGCGCCTCCTCGTAGCCCGGCGGGCTCTCCAGCGGCTCGGGCGGGCTCTCCAGCGGCTGCGTGTCCTCCCGCCGGGGTCCCAGCAGCCCTCCACTCAAGCTGCGGAAGACCCCGCGTGGGGCGCGGCCCCCGGCCCCCAGCGAGAGGCGGCTGCGGCTGAAGGGCAGCCGGGGCGCGCTGGGGCGTGCCGGGGGCAGCGAGGTGCTGCTGAGCGAGCGGCGGCAGCGCTGGCAGCTGCGCAGGTAGGCGCCCGAGCCGGCGCCCATGACCACGGCCTCCGAGTAGCTGGGCACCAGCTGCCGGTTGGAGCAGATGTGCCACTCGAGCTCGGTGAAGTCCACCGTGGCCACGCGCGACAGCGGGGGCCCGCTGGGCCCGGCGCCCGGTGGCGGTGGCGGCGAGCTGGCCCCGAACAGCTTCTCCACCTGGTAGTGCACGTGCGCGGTGCCGTAGGCGGCCACCACGCGCAGCGGCCAGGACAGCGTGGCGGCCGACACGAGCCAGAAGACCCAGGCGCGGGCGTACCAGGGCGGGCTGCGCGGGTCGGCGAAGACCATGAGCGACTCGCGGAAGTCCACGTCCTTCAGCTGCATGCCCTCGCGCGCCTCCAGGTAGTCGTCCAGGCCTTCGTTGGCGCTGAAGAAGCGGGCCCGCTGCGTGAGGTACGAGGCCTCGGCCTCGGCGCTGCCGAAGCTGAAGCACTTGGTGAAACGCAGCCGCGTGGCCGCGTGCTCGGCCAGCCCCACGAGCTCCTTAGAGACGTCACGCACGCCGTGGGCCGAGTAGTCAAACTCGCCCCGCGCCGTACGGCTGTCGGCGCGCTCGTGGTACACCTGCGTGGTGGTGTAGGCGTCGCCGTTGCGGTAACGCGTGATCTGGCGCGTGCGGCGCACGTAGTGGTAGCTCGTGGCCTTCCACCATACGCACGGCGGTGCCTGCTGCAGCCGCCGGATGAGCGCCAGCACGGTGTGCGCGTCCGTGCGTGGCGCCTGGCATGAGCGCACGTGGCAGTGCCAGCACTCGGCCAGGTAGAGGAGGTAGAGGAGGGAGACGAAGGCCAGCGGGATGTACAGGTAGCCATCGGAGCAGGGGCTGGCTGGGTAGGTGGGCGGCGGGCCGCCAGCACCGCGGGCCAAGGCCGCCTCGGGTCCCAGGACCAGGCGCGGCACCGTGGCCAGGCGGCACCAGGCCACCACGGCGCCGCAGGCGTGGATGAGCAGCGTGAGCAGCAGGCACTTCCAGTGCGACTCCCGGCACAGGGAGCTTCCCAGGGACTGCTTCAGGGGCCGCTGCTGCAGGGCAGGCAGAGAGAGGGGCGGGAAGGCTGTGGTCAGGGCAGGGGGTGAGGCCCAGCAACAGGCTTGCTCCAGGCCTGGCGTCTGTAGCTGGCTCCCACCCAGGCCTGTCTGCCCTGGCCTCCACTTGGGCCCTGCCCGCCATGCAGGAGGACACAAGCACCGTTCCTGTCCCCCAACCCCCCAGCCCCCCAGCCCCCCCCCACAGTTCCTCCACCAAGGATTGGGACAGGTCCCTCTTCCTTGGCTGGCTTCAATTTCCTCATCTTAACTGGGGCCCTGCTATGGCTCTAGTGACCTGAGCCAGGGGTGTGAAGGTGTTAGCACAGCCCCCCACCAGGTGGCAACAGGTATCATTGCCATGACCTGTGACTCCATGCGCAGGGGCAGGAAAGGCTCTGAAGTTGGGGAGCGAGAGCCCGAGGCAGAGGGGGAGGCTTGTGGGGGCAGCAGATGGAGCACTGGCAGCACTGTCCACCACGCCCCATCTATGCTGAGGGAGGGAGGGGGCGTACACACAGCTGCTGGGCAGCCAGCCGCTCCCTGCCCACCCTCCCCCCTGCCAGGCCTTCCAGCCTGGCCACCTCCCCGCCCCGCCCCCTCCAGAGAGAAGAGAGCGTGTCTCAGGGGAGGGGGTGTGGGAAGGAAGCCGAAAGGAAGGCGGAGGGGGTATAAAGATGAGGCTGAAGGCTGGCCTTCTCTGCCCAGACCCCACTCCTGCTTCCCAGACACACCAAAGGAGAACCACACCGCCCCCACCTGCCAGGGAGTAGGGGGCACTGCAGCCCCTTCCCCCCACCTTGGGTGCACACCTCCCACCACCCCACCGGCCTGGTCTGCCCCTCAGACACCTGTCCTCCTCCCTGCTCCCAGCACAGGTCCCTGCTGGCTCTCCAAGTCTGTCACTTGTCTCCACCCACAGCAAGCAGCCAGGTGCCGGAGGCCACACACCCTCCCCAAGGACCCATGGGCCACAGGACACACTCCTGCATGTCACGTCCCATCGACCCTCCTTCACCTGCCCACAGCGCGCAGCGCCCTGCCCCCATCCTGCTGCAAGCTGACACCCACACACCCCACTCCGCGGTGGGTGCGGGAGGAGGGACCCACCCACAGCAGGACACAGGTACACACCAGACCCTCCCCCAGCCGCGGGGCCTCTGTGTCCCTCCCCAGGTTAGGGAAAACATGCTGCACTCACGCCCCCAGCCCCCTCACTTTGTCACCTGCACCCCACTTAACCAGCGCCCCATCCTCCTGCAGACCTTCCGGCTTAAGGCTGAGGAGGGGTCGTTTTAAGGCGCTTCACAGCCCAGCAGCTAGTGTAGCCAGGTGGGGGAGAAGGCAGAGAGGGGGTGCCCGAGGTCGCTTCCCTTCTCCTCCCACTCCTCCCTGCCCCCACCGGCGGGCCCCGCCACCGCTGCTGCATTGCGGGCGCCGCCCGGACACCTCGTGAGTGGCCTGCAGGGCAGAGCGGGGGGCCTGACCCCGTGGCCCTGGGCGTGGGTGCGGGCAGCTCCCGGGCGGCGGCGGCTGCAGAACCGGGAGGATGGGGGCCAGGCACTGACGTCACCGGCCGGGCGCGGATGGTTGAGGGGCGCTGGAGGCAGGAGTCGCCCCCACATCTCCGCTCTGCCTTGCTCGCATCCCGATCTCTGCGCTCACCCCAAAACCCCAGAGACGCCCCTCCGCCGGGGCGCAGGCCACCCCGATGACGTCACTGCCCGGCGGGACCTGGACCCCTCACAACCCTCACGAGCCTTCCACCCCCCATGCCTTCTGCTGTGGCCGCCCCAGCCTGCGTCCCGGTCCCGCCGCTCGGCGCCGGTACCTCCTCCCGTAGCGGTTCGCCGTCCGGGATGAGCGCGGGCACCTCCCCGCCGTCGCCGCCGCCGCCCTCGGGCATGGTGTCCTGGCTGCTCGGGCGGCCCCGGCCCGGGCCCCGGGCATGATAGAGCGGAGCACGGAGGGCGGCAGCGCGGCCCCGGGGGCGTCCGCTCGGCTCGGCGGCCGCGGAGGGAGTGCGCCGAGCCGGAGCCCGAGCGCGCCGAGCGCGCAGAGCGCACAGAGCGCACGGCGGCCGCGGGGCCCGGCGCCCCGCCCTCCGCTGACCCCGCCCCGCGGCCCCGCAGGCGCCGCCGGCAGCGCCTGGCACCGCGCGCCCCGCCCGCCTCGGAGCAGCCCGGCCCGCGCCCCGCTGGACACCCGCGCTCTCCTCCGGCCGCGCACGCCGGCCACTGCCACCTTGGGCCAGTTCTTGCTCTCTGGCGGCCTCAGTGTTGCCGGCTGTAAGATGGGGAGAGTGAGCCCCGAAGGAGTTGGGCGCCTGTGGGACCTCGCTTCTTGGGGAAAGGGCAGGTGGCCACGCAGAGGGGGTGGGCTGGACAGTGGTGCTGGGTTCTGCTTAGGGTGGACAGGCGGGCGGCTGGGGCACAACGGGGGACCCTCTAGTCTGTAATGGCCTCAGGCTAGTGTGCTGCACCCACAAACCCAGTCTTTCCGTGGAGACATGGTTCTGGGAACGTGTTGAATTCAAGTCACAAGCATTCAGCGAGGTGCATGGAGGTGGGGTGAACCCTGCCAGGAATTGCAGCCCCAGCCAGGGCTGTCAGTCCTGCTCCTTGCCCCCTACTTCCCCACACTCCAGGGGGACCCTCAGGTTAGACTGCAGGATATGGACCCTGCCCCAGGTAAGATGGTGAGCACATGGTAACCTTGGGCGGGTCTTTCTGTGTTTGCGTGTGTTTGAGCAAAAGCACTTCAGAACCCCTTAGTCCACCTCCCCGCTGCTCCCCTGCAGAGGTGACTGGAATAGAGGATCCGTCCCAGCTCCTCCATCTCTTCATTCACTTTAGGGCGCAGCTACTTCCCAAGCACCTCGCGATGTGTGAGTGCAGTGCTTGGCCGTGGAGGATGGGTCAGGAGCGGGCAGTGACACCAGGCCTGGCTTCAGAAACCCATGTCCAGGGGCAATGGGCCTGCAGGCCAGGCCAGCCTGCTCCCCTGTCCCCCTGAGACAAGCTGGGAGGACTCCTGAGGACAGCTAAGCTTTGGACAGGTGGATCCCAGAGCTTGCTACCTTGGGAGGGGGCGGGGAGGGGGCAGAGGACTTGATGGAATTCTCTAGAATGACAGAGTTCCTGGGCCCGGCGCGGTGGCCTAGCTAGCAAGTCCTAGGCCTTGAGGCACAAGTTCTGGTCCCAGCAGCCCTGCTTCCTGTCCAGCTCCCTGCTTGTGGCCTGGGAAGGCAGTTGAGGACAGCCTGAAGCCTTGGGACCCTGCATCTGCATGGGAGACCCGGGCTCCTGGCTTCGGATCGGTTCAGCTCTGGCCATTGTGGTTACTTTGGGAGTGAGTCATCAGACAGAGGATCTTCGTCTCTGTCTCTGCTCTCAGTATATCTGACTTTGCAATAAAAATAAATCTTAAAAAAAAAAAAAAAAGACAAAGTTCCTGTGAGATAGAAGCCCCAGGAGACCATGGGAGCGGCCAGAAGCTGGGCTGCGAGGAGGGAGCCCCCAGCAGGCCCAGAAGAGCAGCGATGACTCAGGAATTTTGGGGTCAGTGCACCTGCACCCCCAAATGAGCTGAACCGTGGAAGGGGCAATGCGACTGGCCTAGGAAAGTGTCCTTCCTGCGCAGCCTGTACCACTCTCGGTCTCTTCATGTCTCTGCATGTGTGCGCATGAGCGTGGAGGGCCGTGGGGTCCCCCTCGCCCCCAGCACCCCGCAGCACCAGGGCCCCTGGGGGAGGGAATCTGAAGGGCGGCGGAGGCGGGAGGGCGCTTTCAGCACCAGGCGGCGGACAGCGGCCTCGCGAACCCGAGCAGTGGGCGGCGGCAGGCGGAGTCCGCGGAGAGGGGGGCCGTGTCCGGGCGGGTCTCCCACGTCCACCTCGTGGGCCGAGGCTCTGCTCCAGGCTTGGGTGGAACGTGGAAGGGGACAGGGCGGCAGAGCGAGGGGCCGGCCGCCGGGAGAAGGGGCCTGGTCAGAGGCCGGCCTCCCCTTCCCCGCCGGACGGACCTCCCGTTAATGAAATTCCCTTCAGCGACTGGAGCAGCCGCTCTCCGGGTGTCGTCGTGGCAGGGCGAGCGTCAGATGCCACACTGCGCAGACGCGGAAGTTAATCTCTCAACACCCTCCTATCTGAAGGCGAACTGGCAAGCTCCTTATCCAATCCGAGGGCACCTTGAACAGTCCACCCACCCCTCTTCAGGAAGTTGCCCACTGCCGAATTGGCTTCGGCAAGGGCACTCCAGTAGCCAATTAGGAGAAGAGACAGGAGAGTCGGGACAGCCCAAGAGCCAATGGCAGGCGGCCGAGGATGACGCAAAGGACATGGCGGCCCAAGTCGCCCAGCCCCGGGACGTGTCCGGCTGCGGGGGAACTTCGGTCGGGGCCCAGGGAGCTGAGCAAGCGTCCTCTTAGTTTTCGTTCCCACGAAGCGGCGCAGGCAGGCCCTCGGGGAGAGCGAGCAGCACGGCCATGGCTTATCACTCGGGCTACGGGGCGCCCGGTGCGTGGGGTCCGGGGAGCCGGGCGAGCGGGGTCCGGGTCCGGGAGGGGGTGGCACTCGGGCTCCGCGCCCCGCGAGACTCCTCGGCGCGGCCCGGACTTTGCGCCTTGCGAACCCGGCCTGAGAAGGTCCACTCTCCTTGCCAGGCGGCCAGCCACTTCCAGCCCCGTTTTTCTTTTTCGGCAATTCAGCTTGTTTACTTCAACCATAGAGTTGTCGAAGCGGGGAAGACAGAGGGACTGTTTTCCATGCCCTGGTTCACAGTGGTCAGGCCTGGGACTCTGGTCCCCACGTCGGTGGCAGGGGTCCACTGCTCTCCCAGGCGCACGAGCAGGGAGCTGGACCAGAGGTGGAGCAGCTGGGACTTGAACTGGCGCTTGTGTGGCATGCCAGCATCGCAGGCAGCGGCTTAACCCACGCTGCACCCAGTTCCCGGCCCTCCAGCCCAGGCAGAGGAAAGGGGGTGGTGGCTTGGGCTCCTGCTTGGAATTCGTTACCAGTTCTGGTATCTCCGAACCCACAGGCTCCAAGCACAGGGTCCGGGCAGCTCCGGACCCCCCGCCCCTCTTCGATGACACCAGTGGTGGGTACTCGAGCCAGGTCGGGGGATATGCAGCTCCAGGAACCGACGTGGCCTTCAGTGTCAATCACCTACTCGGCGACCCCATGACCAACATGGCCATGGCCTACGGCAGCTCCATTGCATCCCACGGCAAGGACATGATGCACAAGGAGGTGTGGGCTCTCCCGTCACCCAGGGCAGGGGTGGTGGGCTTGCTGGCCAAGGCCGGGGCTCACGGGATTTCACCTGCTCCTCCCAGCCTGTGGACCCCATAGAGGAGCACTCCGGGGCGTGTGGGGTGGCTCGCCCACTGCCTCCTCTCTCCCCTCCCAGCTGCACCGTTTTGTGTCTATGAACAAACTCAAGTACTTCTTTGCTGTGGACACGGCCTACGTGGCCAAGAAGCTGGGGCTGCTTGTTTTCCCCTATACACACCAGGTGAGCGCTTGGGGCCGGGGGACCCCACGCTGGCCAGCGGTCCTTGCCCCGCCCCCGGCCGCAGCCACGCCCTCAGGAAGTGACCCCGCCCCTGGGACCTCAGCCCCGCCCTCGAGCTTCAGCCACGCCCCCTTCTTTCTCCTCTCCCAACCTGCTACCAGAATTGGGAGATGCAGTACAGCCACGACGTGCCTCTGCCGCCTCGGCAAGACCTCAACGCCCCTGACCTCTATATCCCCAGTGAGTCTCTGACCTGGGGCCCGGGGTGGGGCACTCGCACCTGGCACTGCTCATGAGGTTTGTGTGTGCCATGCCAGGTCTGGGGGGGGGGATGCTTTTTGCCTCTGGGTTTGGACACGTCCCTGCCCAGCCCTGAGTTTCCAGCACCTTCTGGCTCTGGACAGAGGGAACAGGCAGCACCTGTCAGCTGTGACCGTCTGTCAGACTTGTCCTCCAGGAAGCCCTTCCTGATTGCTGCATGACTTAGAGGGACCAAGCCAGGGTGGGCATGAGCGTAGCCTATTGCCACAGTCCAACTTGGAGATGGCTGAGTGGGCAGGGCTACCATCAGTTGCCAGAGGCCGAGGGGAGGCTGTTTCCAGAGCCCTAGGCTCCCAGCAGATTTTAGTCCCTGTCCTCTGGCCAGAAATGACCCTGGTGCTGTCTGGGCTGGGCAGCGGCTTTGCCTGTACTGCAACTTCCGAAAGGCAGCAGGAGGGGGTGTTCTGGGCTCCCAAGCGTGGGGCTAGGGGACTGGGAGCCACACTGACCACCTGCCTGCCTCTGTTCTTGGCAGCCATGGCCTTCATTACCTACGTGCTGCTGGCTGGGATGGCCTTGGGCATTCAGCAAAGGTAGGTTCTTATCCCCCACACCCCTGCCCCCGCCATCCTGCCACGACTGAGTTCTGACCCACACCCCTGGGCTCTCTCCTGCAGGTTCTCTCCTGAGGTGCTGGGCCTGTGTGCCAGCACGGCACTGGCGTGGGTGCTGGTGGAGGTACTGGCCCTGCTGCTCGGCCTCTACCTGGTCACGGTGCGCAGCAGCCTGAGCACCTTCCACCTGCTGGCCTACAGCGGCTACAAATACGTGGGGTGAGCGCTGGGACCCAGAAAGTGAGGGGCCACTGGGGCAGCCCTGGGAAGGGAGGGGGTCTCTGCTGCTCCATTTTGCTACAGTCCCACTTGGAGTTGGCTGAGTGGGCAAGGCTGCCATTGGGCCCCAGCTCCATTTTGCGTGTGGGTGCCAGCAGGAATGGCTGGGGGTTGGGAGGGGCTGGCAGGCGGACTCGGGGCTCAGCGGCCTCCCCCTCCCCCAGGATGATCCTCAGTGTGCTCACGGGACTGCTGTTTGGCAGCGATGGCTACTACGTGGCGCTGGCCTGGACCTCGGCCGCTCTCATGTACTTCACTGTGAGTCCGGCCCCTGCCCTGGGCACGGCGGGGGACAGCTTCCCCAGCCACCTACCTCCATTCCCCCTCCCTCCAGGTGCGTTCCCTGCGGACGGCAGCCCAGGGCCCCGACAGTATGGGGTCCCCGGCACCCCAGCAGCGTCTGCAGCTCTACCTGACCCTGGGAGCTGCAGCCTTCCAGCCCCTCATCATATACTGGCTGACTTTCCACCTGGTCCGGTGACCCCTGCCCCACCCCCACACTCAGGTTTTTTTCATTTTCCAGACATTAAAACTTTGATTCCTCAATTTTGTGGACTGTTGTTCCTGGGGCCATGGTGGGGCTCTGCCTTGCCCAGGGGGTGGGCTTGGGGCTGTCTGAAAGGGGGTGCACCTAGGAGGGCTTCCTGGAGGTACTGACCGCTTGGTCCTCTTGGAGAGGCAAACGGAAGGGTCTCAGCAGGTAGAAGGAAGACCCCAGTGGGGTCTGTCACTCAGGGCTGTCCCCTAAGACTCCCCCCATCTCCTCTAACAGAAGCAGGGCCCACAGGTTCTCAGTAGTTTATTCATATTTTGTCACAAATGGCTGGGGAGAGGGTGCCGGACTCCTCCAGGTGACATAGAAAATAGGTCCCGGGGTGGGGGGAGGGGGCATGGTGGGGAAGGCAAGTAGAGATAGGACTGGCTAGCCTGGGGCGCAGGAGGGGGGACGGGGTGAGGCTGACCCCTGCTGAGCCCACTCATTCCCCGTGTGGGCACCCCCACCTGCAGGGGGAGCCTCCGGCTGGGGGTTCAAGGTAATGGCCCAGAATTTCCAGAGTGGAGCTCTGCCCAGGTTCTCCCGGAAGTGGACAAGGACCAGGCTGGAGGTCCTGCCCCTTGCAGGTGTGACTGCCATGCCCAGAGGCCGGCAGAGGAGCCCTGCCCTGTGAGAACTCTGCCCAGTCCGTGGCCTGGGGCAAGGGCACTGGAGGCGGGGTGTGCCCGCAGCAGCAGTTTCTGAGGGGGTGGGGAGCCCAAGAGGCTGGGGGCACCAGTGCCCCCTCGCTCCCCAGGGCCGAGGGGCAGGGCTGGGATGCACAGGCGTCCGGTCCGTTCTGGGCTTGCTCCCTGGCCGGCGTCGCCCTTAGAAACTCACCAGCGTATAAACCATACTGCGGGGAGACCAAGTGGAGGTCCTGAGGGCTGCCCGGCAGGCCCCCCGCCCCACTCGAGGGCCAAGGGCAGGGCCTCACCTGTACAGGTAATAGAAGAAGGAGAGCAGGTAGAAGGCGAGTTTGCACCAGGACTCCTTCTGGCAGTAGTTGAGGATGTCGGCATTCATGATGGAGACAGCATCATACATGACCTCGGAGCCATCCGCAGGCCGGTGGAAGTACCTGGGGGACGGCACGGGCACGACGGGGCCTGAGTGCACCTGCAGGCCAACCTCCTCTTCTCCCCAGCGCCGTCCCTGATGGCCTCACCTCCAGAGGTGGTAGAAGAGGAGAGGGATGTTGAGGCCGAGGGTCACCCACTCGGCGGCGCACAGGAACATCAGGCAGAAGAGGCCATGGATGGAATACTCGGGGACCACCAACTGCGGGAGGAGGAGCCCACTCATCGTGACCTGGGGACTGAGAGCCCCCCGGCCTCCCACACAGCCCGAGGGAGGACAGCGCTGGGCTCCACACCCCAGAGTGAGCGGCGTGGGGCCAGGGTGCCTCCCGGCCGCAGCCCAGACACTGACCTTCCTTAGGAGACAGCAGATGCGTTCGATGTTTTTTAAACGCTCCCGCTGTAGGGGAAGGAAGGAAAAGGCGGCGATGCGATGCGCCCTGGGCGCCCACCTGCCGGCTCCGCCCCCGCCCTGCCCGCGGCCGCCAGGAGGCGCCAGAGCGGCAAGGAAGCAGCCGCGCCGTCTCCAGGGCAACCGTCGCCATGGAGGGGCCTTCACCCGCGTCTCCACGGCGACGGCCTGGCAGCGGTGGCCTGGCCAGGAGGAACCTGGGCCCGGAAGCCCGTGCCAGGTGTTTGCTTGGGGCGGGGGCAGAAGGGGCAGGGCCGCCAGTTCCCCCAACGCCATCCGCATGCCCACCCCAGCCCCACCCAGGACGGAGGGAAAGACAGACGGACTGACACACCTCGTCACAGCACATGTATCACTTACTGCCCGCGCTGGGTTGCCCTGGTCGATGGGGTTCTTGAAGTCGGTCCGCAATTCATCAAAGGCAATGATCTGGGGAAGGAGCAGGGCCTCGTCAGGGTTGAGGCTTGCCTTCCCTGGGGTCAGAAATGACGCACAGGAACTGGTTGCCAAGGTGGGGAAACTGAGACCCAGTGAGGGGCAAAGTGCGGTCCGATCATACAATGATCTGATTGCCACGAAGCCTTGGTGGCCTTAGGTCCTACACCCCCTTCCAAGACACCCCATGGGGGACTACTCTCCATGGAGTGCGTGCTGAGCTTTAGGCCCCACCCCTCAAGACCTGGGACCCAGGACCTAAGCCTTGGCAAACTCCAAGCTCCTTCCCAGCCGTTGGAGACTCGGGGGGCTGGGGGGAAGGGGTGGTGGAGGAGCAACTTGATGCTGAGCAGGTGTGATGACAACATGTGGGGTGCAGTGGGGACCAGTCCAGGAGGGAGGAACAGCACAGGGGGGCAGCAAAAACAAGGAAGGGTCAAGGACAGGAGGGAAGTCAGAGGCGGGCGGAGGTGGGGGAAGTGGGGAGGTCAGAGGTCAGCCCAGGAGCCAATACTCAGGGAATGTCAGACTGTCATCCCAGGACCAGGGGCAGGAGGGCCTGGATGTCCCCCATCCTGCCACTCGCACTGGGCCAGCAGCCCTGTGCTTACTGACATAGGGACTAGAGTGAAGGTAACTGGTGAGAAATAAGACATGGACACGTCTATCGGGTGCAAATAAGTTTTTTTGAAATCCATTTTTTAAACATAAAGCGACGTTTTGGAAGACAGCATGAACATCACTGGCCACCATGTGTCCAGTGAGGAGCTAGCCTGAGTGAGGAGAGCTGCAGAGGAGGCGGGAGGCGTGCGTGGTGGGGCCTGCAGCTCTTCCCAGCAAACTCCAGAGGGTTCAGTGGGCTGAGCAGGGGGAACAGAGCAGGGGGGACAGAGCAGGGCCCCGGGCAGGCGTGCCTAGGGGAAGCACGGCTGGGGGAGGTGGGCTGGTAGCAGAGCCGACTGGGCCCCCTCCCCTCAGGAAGCGTCAGGCCCACCACCCCCAAGCCTGCCAGACCCCAGACGGCTGGGGAGGGAAAAGAACACGGCCTTCCTGCAGGGAGCTGGGCCATCTGGAGCCCCCTCCCAGCTCCACCAGGCACAGTGTGAGGGGCCAGCAGGGAGCGGAAGGGTGCCGTCTGTCTGCCCCAGAGCTGGCACTGCGACAGGCGGGGTGTCGCGCCTCCCACCCCCCAGGCTGCCTGGCGCTGACTCAGCACCCCCAGCCCCGGAACAAACAATCCCCCACAGTGACAGCTGACACACATCACTCACCACTAGGGTTGCCTAGCGACCAGCAAGGTCTGGGCTGATCTGGGGTCTTGCCCTGGAAGGTTCTAGTCCTTACCAGTTTTGGACTACGGCTGCTGTCCCCTGCTCCTCCTGACACCGTGGGGCCAGGTGAGGAGGTGGCCTCTGGGAGAAGGGCTTGCTAAAGTCCCACAGCCACGAGGCTCGCTAGTAGTAAGTGCTCGCAAGACAGAAGTGGGATGAACGGGGGCAGAGCAGAGCTGAGTGCTGGGTCCAGAGCCCCTGCCCCTCGCACACCCCAAGTCTGTCTGCACACAGGTGTGTTGGACGAGGACTGTGGGAGGTCCCAGAGCTTCCTGAACTCCGAGGAACCAGCCCGTGTCCCCCAGTTCTGTGAAGGCCTTGGCCCTTGCTCAGGACAGAGTCTCAGAGATCAAGATGGAAGGGTGGAGAAGAAGGGAGGGAGGGGGAGAGAAGCAGGAGAGTCAGTTACAGCCTTCAAAAGAAGCAAGGAACAAAGGCAGGCCGTAGGGTGGCACCTGTGTGTCCCCACCCCCAGCAGGGGTCTATGGGGAAAAGGAAAAGGTGGCAGGGATGGCAAAGGAAAGGAAAGGTGGCAGGAATAGCAAAGCCAGAGGTGGGTCAGGAGCTCTGGGAGGGCCCCGGAGCAAGGCAGGTCCCAGACAGAGAGCAGTGGGGGGAGCAGGGACAGTGAGGTGATGGAGGGGCTTGGGGAGAGGATGGAGAGAAATGAGGGGGGCAGCGTGGTGGGAGCCAGAGCACCCGGCCCATCTGGGAGGGGGCAGGGTGGAGCAGTGAAGAGGGGTGAGCTGGAAGCTGCGGGACAAGGGGCACACTGAAGGAGGGTGAGGGACAGAGCAGGGGGACAAAGCGGGAAGTGGGGGCAGAAAGAGGAGGGACATGGGGGGATGGGGAGGTGGGGGGGGGAGCTGCTCTGAGCCAACCCTGCTTGGTCAGGAAGGGGGCTGGGAAGGGAATGGGTTAATAGGCTCCAAGATATGTGGGTCCTGTAAACAGATGCAGTTGCCATAGCAACGGGCTCCATCACTCTGGCTGGAAAAACCCACAAAGAGTGGGGGGGGGGGAGAGCAGTAGACAGACAAACTGCCCGACAGACAAACAGGGGTGGCTGGACAGGAGGGGCATGGGAGGAGGACAAGAATTCCAGAATTCAGTATCCCCACCCCTGGGCTGCACGGGACAGAGGGGCAAGGGGCTGCCCAACATGCCCACAGACAGGCGGGGGCGGTGGAGGGAAGGAGGGGGCACCGGGAAGGAAGCCGACCATGGAGGTGCTAATGGGGGCGAAGCTGACCGATAGCGGGGTCGTGCGGATAGCAGTGAAGAGGCTCCAAGTTGCCCCAGGCTCTGAGCCCATTCGCCCGATCCCCCCTGGCCCTCGTGCCCCCGGCCCCCACCCCACCCCCAGCCCGAGCCCCAACCCGGCCTTACGTGCCAGATGACAAAGAAGATGAGGGAGGCGCACAGCACCAGGGTGAGCATGTAGCAGAACGCGGCGAAGGTGAACGCCATGGCCCCCGCGCCGGGCGGTGGCCCGGGGGGCGCCAGCGCGGGGCCCGGGCGCAAGGGGACGCCCCCCGGCCCGCACTTAGGGCCGGCCGGGCATGGCCCGCGGGGTTTGGGGGACGCAAGCGGCGTGGCCGGGACCGGGGCCGCGGGGCCGTGGGGGGCACGGGGCGCGGGCTGTGGGGCTCGGGGGGCGCGTCCGCTGCCGGCTGCCCGGGCCCCGATCGCTCATCCTGCGATCCCTCGCCCGCGGCTCCCTCGCTCTCCAGCCCGCGAAGCCGGCGGGGCGGAGCCGGGGGCGGGGCCGTCGTGCCTCGGGCGGGGCTGGGCTCGGGGCGCCCCTCTGCCCCGCCCCCCACCCCCGGAACCCAGGTGGCGCAGGAACCCCAGGCACAGAGGCACCCTCGTTCCCCCAGCCACCCTCGGTCCACTGGCACACACCGCGCCTCACTGGGACAGGAGCTCCGGCTAGAAGGCCGAGCACTTGTCACCGTCCCAGTGGGCAAAGGCACTTGAGCGGTACCCGAGGCATGGAGGCCAGATGCAGGGGGCAGGCGCCCATGCTGCCCAGGTCCAGCACACATCAGCTGGGGAACTAGCTGAGGCTCAGCAGGTACTCCCGCCAGCTGCCTGCCTCCCTGACACAGCCGTGCTGGGCCCTTGGGGAGGGACCATAGCTGCAGAAGCAGGCAGCTCTCCTGGCCCCAGTATGTGGGTCAAGGGCTTCTGCTAGCAACCCTGGGACACAGTCCCCAGCCAAGACCCTGTGCAAACCCCAGCCCGGGGCCCAAGGCCCAGTCCACCTACCCCACACCACGCAAGGGAGCCCACAGACCACGCTCAGCCACCACAACTTCCTGGCAAAAACCCTCAGCTCATCCGAGGGCCAGTGGAAATTTATTATTTTTTTTGTCCTTTTCCATCTTTCCCCAAGTGGCTTTTCCTTGTAAAATGTCTGACATGACACCAGAGGGGCACCAGAGGGGAACCTGGGAGCAGGGGCACACCCCAAGGGGCAGGCCTGTGAATTAAATACTAGTTGGGGCATGGGGCAGGGGCCAGGGGCCAGGAGCCAGACAAGGAGAGACGGCACCAGGACATGGCTTCTACATTGAGACCAAAGGTTTGTTTTCCTGCAGGAAGCAGCTGTACCAGAGGGAGGGGTCAGGATCCTGGGCAGCAGGGGAAAGTGGCAGGGGCCAGACCTGTGCCCCCAAAGCAGTGGCGGGTCTGCCATCTGAGGCGCCAAGGGGATGGAATGGCCCAGGCCAGATGTGCTGCCTCAGGGAGGGAGTAGGTGCTGGCAGGGCAAGGGTTAAGGCTAGCGCCCGGCCTCAGCATGGTGGGCCTCCCGCCTCCGCCTGCCAAGGGGACAAAGGGGCCCGGTGTACAGGCAGCACACAGCCGGCTCCGGCAGGGCAGGGGGCGGCAGAAGCAGGCACCCTCTGGGCTCACGACACAGGCCCAGCGCGGCGGCTACCCGCCCACCTGGCCGCTGTGTGCTCAGACCCCATGGCAGCTGGACGGCTGGAGCTGGGCGTGTGGGAGGGACAGGGCAGGTGGAGCAGAGAGGGTGGGCTGCTGGGCTGCCACCCGTCCTGAGGTCCCAACCCAGGGCCCAGGACTCGGGACCCCAGGCTCTGACAGCAGTCAGGGCGGGGGGCAGGGATGGGCCCCAGCTGTGGGAAGAGGGGCAGGGAGAACCCAGTGCAGCATATGGGGGGTGGGCAAGCGGAGAAGCCCTCCTTCTCAAGACGGGTGGTATCCGCAGTTACCCAGGCAGCAGCAGAGCAGGCCCTGCCCCAGCCAGCCCCAGGTCCAGGGTTTCTTCCGGTAGGGGGTCCTGATAGCAGGGCCCAGGGCAGAAGGCAGACGGGCCAGAGGGAGATGGGGTGCCCAGGACACCCCGAAATCACAGACTCAAATACCCCGGGAGAGGGAGAAGGAGGCACTTCCCACGCCCTTCTGGGGCATCATCTGTAGGGGTCCCTCTGGTGCCACTTCCCCATGCCCCTCCTAGCAACAGCCACCACCGGGCGTCTTCACAGGGGTGCTGTCGATCTTGATGTTGGGCCGCTCACCCCCCGAGGCTGCCCCCGGCCCCATGCGCTTTTTGATCTCCGCAGCCATGGTCATGAACGCCTGCTCCACGTTGGTGGCATTCTTGGCACTTGTTTCCAGGAAGGGGATGCCCAGCGAGTCAGCGAACTCCTGACGGGGGAGGGGAGGGGGAGAGGCAGAGGGGTAAGAAGCAGTGGGTGCTAGGGGCCCCCAGGCGGGCGGCCCGACCCCTCACCTTGGCTGTGGTGCTGTCTACCACCTTCTTGGTGGTGAGGTCGCTCTTGTTGCCCACCAGGAGCTTGTTGACGTTCTCGCTGGCATAGCGGTCAATCTCCTGCAGCCATTGTTTCACGTTGGCGTACGACTCCTGGGGGGCCAGGCCACCAAGTTACCCATGCCCGCCGGGGCCAGGGGCAGGCCTCTCCCCACCAGGCTCAGCCTGCCTCTGCCCTGCCCAGCACCCCAACAGCTGACCCTCCTCCAGGCCCAGGCCCATGTGGGAGCCAGTGGCCCTGGAAGGCAGAGGGGAGATGGGATCGCAGGTGGCCATCAGTGGGACACAGTGTCCCCGTGGTGGCGGCAGCATGCATGGCCCAATGGTGACATCGAGGCCCTCTCACCTGACCCCAAGTGGACTCAAGCCACAGTCCTCTCTACCCTCTGGGGCCGGTGCCCTGGTGGCACTCCCCTGGTAAGCTCACAGCTTGGCCTGCACCTTCAGACAACATGCCCAGGACCCAGGCTTGGTGGGGATGCCACAGGCAGGCCCTATGCGGGTGGGAGGCGAGGCAGGGCACAAAGTGTTTGAGCATGCTGTCTTGGCCGACCAGGAACCAGGGGGAGGGGGCTGGATCAGCCCGGGACAGAGAAGATGGTCTGCAGCACAGGGCACGGGGTGGGAAAGAGCTGAACTGTCCTGGCGCGGCTTTGTCAGTCAGCGGCTCTGCACTCCTGGCAAGGCCACCTGACTGCCCAGGCCTCAGTTTCCCGTGGCTGCAGACCAGCACCTCCGGTGGGGCTGTTGTCAGCAGAACAGAATGAATGCAGGCCCGCCTCCCGACAAGAGCTTCATTAGCGAGAGCGGCGATTATCCTCATCACTGCTATTCTGAAGGGACAGAGCTGACAGGGACGCTGGGGAGACGAAAGGCCCGGGGGCGGGAGGAGAAGCTTCCTGGCCAGGTTACCCAGATGCAAGCGGACACGTGCATGTTGCACGCGGCCTGCGGGCAGGAGCCCTGGCTCCCTCCATGGCTTCATGGAGCAGGGCGAGCTGCTTCCTCACATGCAAAACCCAGCGCCAGCACTCCATGCCCAGTGCACGGACAATGCGGGGTTATGGTGACGAGGCTAGACCACAGGGCAGCCTGACCACTCCGTGGCCACGCTGTGCTGGCAGGAGGGAGGTGGAAGCTGGGTCTTTGCTGGGAAGCACATGTCTGGGCTTGTGGGGAAAGTTCTAGATGACCCAGCCAGGAGACACTGAAGTCAGGAGGTGAAGGGCCCTAGGACCTTGACCTTCCAAGGGGAAGGTGGGCATGGAGTCGAAAGCCCCCGAGAGCAGCAGGCTAAGGCCCTCTCAGGGGATCCCGCGAGGTTTGACCCGCCTTAGGACTGGCAGGTAGGAGGGCTGCAGGGCACACCCAGGCTGGCAGGTGGGCTGGGAGCAGGGGGACGCCTTCCTGGAGGCAGATGCAGTCCCCCACATCCCCAGGGCAGGTTCCCCACCGGAAGCCGACAAAGCAGACTGGGCTCCTGTGTCCGCCCCCAACCAGCTAGAGGACTTGTCAGCGGCACCCCCATCCTGAGCTCCCAGCCCCATGGGGAAGATAGCAATGTGACGCGGGCCTGTCCCCAAGTGTCACATGGCCACGTTTCTGGCTGCTTCCAGCGCTGTGTATCCAGCACCCCTGTACTTCTGCTCACACTGGCCCAAACTCTGGGTCCCTGCCAGAGGGAAGACCCCTGGCTGCTGCCCCCAGCAAGCACAGGCCCAACATGGTGACCAGCCAGCTAACCAAGGTAGCAATGGTGGCGCGAGGCTGAGGCCTGGCTGGGGCCATTTCCTCCCCGCCATGTGCTCCCCCAGCACAGGCAGCCTCCTCTCCAAGAAGAACAGAGAAGCAGCCTTAGTCACAGACTTAGGGCCAAGAAGGCAAGGCCGATGCTGGGGAGCCCAGCAGTACCTGGTCGGTGACATCATACACCACGATGATGCCGTGGGCCCCCCGGTAGTAGCTGGAAGTGATGGTCCGGAAGCGCTCTTGCCCAGCTGTGTCCCACTGCATGGTGGGAGCGGAAGAGGGAGGTCAGCTAGGGTCAGCTGTGCCCTGGCCCTCCCCAGGCAGTCCAGAAGGCCGCCACTCACGATCTGGAGTTTGATGGTTTTGCCGTCCAGCTCAATGGTCCGGATCTTGAAGTCCACCCCAATGGTGCTGATGTAGCTTTCGGTGTATGTGTCGTCCTGGAGGCCAGGGAGATGGCTGAGCAGGTGTGTAAGCCTTGGTTCTCAACCCCTACTCGGAGGTACTCCTGGTAGGCCCCGCACTTCATCCTTGAGCCCCACCATGCCCCCGGGCTGTCCCTGCCCCACCAGCCGCCAGCCAGAATCCCAAGGAGGCACAGAAAGGGGGGGGGGGGAGGAGATGGGCTACTCACTGCAAACCGCAGGAGCAGGCATGACTTGCCCACGCCCGAGTCACCGATCAGGAGCAGCTTAAACAGGAAGTCACTAAGGAGAGAGGCAGGGAAGGTGTGAAGGCGAGGGGCTGCCTGCCAACATCCTGAGGTCACACACAGCCCCCAGATCCACCCACTGCTGCCGTGTCACAAGCCAGCCCTCAGGGGAACTGTGACCTGCTGTGAATCACAGTCTATCAGGTGCCAGGGCTTGGCCTCCTCCTCGGACTCTTGACACACTTCACAGCTACGTCCAGGAGCGGCTACTTAGCGGCCCCCCGAAGCACCCTGAAGTGTGCCTGGCCTGGGAGAGGAGGCCCCAGAAGGGAAAACTAGGGTTCAACCCAGAACCTGTTATGCCAAAAAGCCGTGCAAAGAAGTTGATGAGAGGCTGGCATTGAGGTGTTACAGGGTTAAGCCACTGCCTGTAGTGCCGGCATCCCAATCAGACACTGGTTTGAGTCCCAGTTGCTCCACTTCTGATCCAGCAACTTGCTAATGTGCCTGGGAAAGCAGTGGAGGATGGCCCAAGTACCTTGGCCCCTGCACCCGCGTGGGAGACCCAGAAGACGCTCCTGGCTTTGGCCTGGCCCTGCCCCAGCCACTGAGGCCATTTGGGGAAGATCTCCCTCTCTTTCTGTAATTGTCTCTCAAATAAGTAAGTCTTAGTTTAAAAATGGAAAGAAGCTGCTTTGAATCCCTGCGAGGGGCAGTGGGCAGGTGGCAGGGATGGCCCCTCATACAGGCAGCACCAGCACTGCTCCAGGTCCCCCCAACAGCCCAGGGAAGGGACTACAGCTGCTGGCAGCCAGCGAGGCACCCAGGGCTCAGAGGTGGCAGTGACTGCCCCAAGACACAGCACTCACCACACTGAGGGCCCCTGCAGCTGTGTGGGGCTGAAGCTCGGAGAGAGCCGGAGGTCCACTTTAGGCCCTAACCCAGTGCCGTTTGCCTTCGCTCAAGGGATCCTGACAACTGCTGGGGCTGTAGGTGTTGGAGAGAGTCCCCTCTAGGCCCTAACCCAGCACCCATTTTCGCTCTCACCCAAGGGAACCCGAGGCCAGACCAAAGAAGAAAAAGGGAATTGCAGAAAGCAAGATGCCAACACCAGCAGATACTGGAGGAAGCTCCCGTCCCCTGCCAGGGGACAGCTGTGGTGCCGTTGGGACCTGAACACAGGTAAGGACAGGGCAGGACACAGCGGGAGCCAGCACCTGCGGGCCACCCGTGCCGGGGTCCAGCTGCCACTGCCAGCCCCGACGGGCCACCCGAGGGCCTCCGGCGGAGGGGTCCAGCTGCCCGAGTCAGTCTCCAGGGCACAAGAGGCGCAGATGCCCTCCAGCCACCAAGCACTTGCAACCCTAAGATGTGGAATCCTCCCGCCCCACGGAGGACCCCCGAGTCCAGTCAGTCACCAGGACAGCGCTGACCCGACCTCACAAGCGCTCCCCCAGGCGCCCCACCCACTCCTTCCAGGAAATCCGGACCCCAACCCAACTCCTCCCGGGTGACACCCTCCCTCCCCGGGGGCGGGCTGCCCAGCTCCGCCGGCTAAGGATGCAGACAGCACGCGGGACGACGCCCCCTTCCCGGGCAGTGGTCGCGGCCCCACCGCGCCCATCTCCTGCGCTGAGCGCACTCTGTGCTCCTTCCCCGACTTCCCGCTGGATCTGCCCGGCTCCCAATCCCTCCTCGGGACGAGTTCGCGAAGCAGGGCGCCAGGGCCCAGACCCGAGACCGGAGGCACCCGAGCCGTGGCAGGTGCCCGGCCGCCGGCGGGGGGACCGGCAGCACCGCGCCTCCGGCCTCCAGGCGCGGCCCCGGCACCGCTGCGTCCCGGGCCCGGGTTCCAGGATCGGGGTGTCGAGTCGGGGTCCGGGGCCCCCCGGGGAGGAGGGGCGGGACCCGGATGTGTGCTGGGGGTGGGAGGAGGGAGGTCAGTGGAAGAGGGACCCGGATGTGGGGGCTCCGCGCAGCCCTGACCCGGGCTAGACAACTCCGGGATGCGTCCAAGCCCGTACTCGGGACCGAGGCTGCGCCAGGCGGCGCGGGCGGGGCTCACTCACTATTCGGGGTTCATGGCGGCGGCGGCGGCCCGCTCGGTCGCTCCCAGTCGGCTCTGCTCCGCCTCCCGTTCCAAGATGGTGGCCGCTCCGCCCCTGAGGCCCCGCCCGCGACGCGCAGGCGCAGACGTTCTCGGCGGATGCGGTGGGGGGGCTCGCCGCGGTGCTTCTTGGAACGTGTAGTTTCTCATGTGTCACGACTCTCTCCCACTGCGCAGGTGTAGCTCCGAGTCCGTGCGTTGCTGCTGCGCATTGCCTTCTGGGGCTCGTAGTTCGCTTGCTAGTAGTCCCGGGCGGAGGGCTGCGCTCCCCACCCAGGCTGAGGCTCGGTTTGGAGCTGGGTTTCGCACATGCACACGATTGGCAGATGCCGTCTTCCTAACTCCTGCAGGAGCATGCCAGCACTCCGGTTTTATGGATGGAAATCTGCTCGAGGTCAGACAGCCTGAGAGTACGGTAGCCCTCACCAAAGCCCTCCACTCTTTGCAACGAGGTTTTAGAAGCAAGTCTGAGCCCAGCGGTGCCCCCCAACAACTCAGGGATGAGGGCAGGGTCTCTGACCCCCACCTGCAAGGGGCTGGACAGGATGGAGTGAAACCAACACACACTCTGATCATTCTTGCAACCTCTCCCGACCCCACCTCGACCTGGTCCGTCTCAAAACAGGCCCAGCTTGGGTTCAAGCCATCTTTATTTCTATAGTGACATCTGAAAACAGGGCGCGCCCGCTTCATGCCCACCCCAACAGGGGCAGCCTCTCCCGCCCCTCGCGAGAAGCTGCAGGTGCGAGACGGGGTGTGGCAGGAACGGCTCCAGGGGCGACCGGACGAGGAGCAGTGCATAAGGCCGGGGTGCGGCGCAGGGCCCGGCTGCTAGGATGGACGGCAACGAGCGAGGACCCTCTGGCCCGGGTGATGGCGAGCTGGTGTGCATCCCTGGGGGGCCAGGAGGGGCGTGAGAAGGTCCGGCGGCCTGGGGGGCGGCGCAGCTCCTGGGCCTGGGAGACCCTCGCCCCCGCGCGGAGATGGGGTTGATTAAGGCCTGGGCGGTACCTCTAGAGAAGGGGACGAGGAGACATTGAGGAGTCCTGTGGGCCGGGGGTGGGGGGCATGGCCAATAACTTATTTCTCTATATACAGAAGCAACCGCCGGGGAGGCGGGGGCCTAGTGTTCTTGGCTCTGGAAGGTGGGCTGCCAGCCCCTCCCATGGGCCCGGGGAGGAGGGGCTCCGCCGGAAGGAATACATACGGGGAGCAGCCGGGGCAGCCAGGCCCCCCGGCCAAGGCTGAGATGACAAAGGAGGAGGTTACCCTGAGATTGAACAGAAAAGGGGGTCCTGGGGAGAGGCAGGCGGGACAAGCAGCAGGCCCATGCGCAGGGCTGGGGGCTGTGCTGGGCAGCGGCTCTGGCAGCTGGCTGCCCCTTCAGGCCTAGCCCACCAGGGAGCTTCGTCGAGAGAGGTCCATGGAGCTGGAGCTGAGGGTGCGGCTGTCGGAGAGGCCAGGACCTCCGGGCTGCGGGCAGAGAGGCAGCGGCTGAGGGCGTGCCCTGGCACCCCCACCCAATGCCGCCCCGTCGCCCCTACCCTGCACCTACCTGGACAGCCTCTTCCACACTCTTGTTGAGGAAATTGAGGGAACTGGCTCGCTTCATCCTGAGGCAGAGGATGAGAGCACGGCCACCATGAGCCAGGGGAGCTGCGAAGCGGCCGGGGAGGGTGGGGGTCAGTGCTCGGCCTCGGCTCGGGGGCTCACCTGGGGTTGGGGGGCTCCTGGGGGCCCCCGCCCTGCAGCTTCTTCACCAACATCTCGCTGCTGCGCCTCAGGGCATCCCGGAGCTTTCCAAAGGAACCACTGCGCCGCAGGGCGCCACTGCCATCCTGCCAGGCGTCAGGCTCAGGACTCTGGGCCGCCCCCTTCCTCTCCCCCCTGCATCCCACCTCCTCCCTGTGTGCCCCCTCCCCAGGCCTCGGACTCACCCCGCTCCAATCGGCTGCAGGCCCTGCCTCCTCCAGGTCCGACTCAGACCGAGGCCCAGCTGCCCCATCCCGGCCACCACGGCGGTCTCCCCGCCCACTGCCACCGTCTTTCAGCAGCTCTACCACCTTGGTCTGGCTGGCAGGGTCCAGGCCCTGAGGGGATGGCAGCGAGCGTCAGGCCCTGCTGGGAATGCAGGGCCTGTGGGTGCTGTCCAACCCCTCGCCAGGAGCCCCACCTGCTTGCGGCTGCGGCTGGCACAGTCCTCCAGTGTGTGTGCGGCCTCCAGCTTGCCCTGGCGTCGATACAGGGCTCCCAGGCTGCGCAGGGTTGTGTTGACTGTGGGGCTGGGGAGGGCCAGGTGGGGTGGTCAGACCCGTCCTTCCACTACTCCAGCCCTCCTCGCACCCAGCTGGCACTAGCACCCCGAGCAATTATCCCCCAACCAGATTGTAGCCCCCACTCTTGCTGCAGGTGTGGCAAGCCTTGCCTTCTTGGGAGGAGTGGCCTGTGGTCTGGGCCCTCAAGGGTGAGCTGACCAAGTGGGGCAGTATGTTTCAGGGTGACCAGATACCACATTCCTGCCCCCAGCCTGCCCAAGGCCCTCACCTGTCCACTTTGCAGGCCTTGTACCAGCTTCCATATTCCCCATAGGGGGCACTGTCCCGGCGCTTATCCTGGGGGAGGAGTGGTCAGGGGAGGTGCGTGAAGCCCCCTCCACCCAGCCCCGTGCCCTGCCCAGGCCTACCAGGACCCACCTTGCTCTCCTCACGCTCCTCGGCGTGCATCCAGATGGGCTTGTTGTCCCCTGGGGGAGAGGGCAGCCTCAGCAGCCAGCCCCCCGAGCCTTCCTGCTGGGTCGGGCCTCAGGAGCCACCCCGACATGACGCCAGGTACAAATGATGGGCCAGACGCTGAGGGATCCCCGGGGCCAGGTAACACCAGGCGAGTGGGGAGCCCCTGGTGTGCGGAGTGCATGGGGCGCAATCAGGCGGGTGCATGCCCCCGACTCACCATTGACGGAACCGAACTCCTTCTCGTGCGCACGGGTCAGGATCTCCTTGTACAGGATCTCTGCGTCCTGGTACTTTCCCTGCCTCAGGTAGCAGGAAGCCTGCGGGGCCAGGTGGGGTGAGCAGGCTGCCAAGCCCCCAGCCCGCCCTCCCACCCAGCCTGCAGCCCTCCCACCCAGCCCCCAGCAGGCCCTCCCACCCAGCCTGCAGCCCTCCCACCCAGCCCCCAGCAGGCCCTCCCACCCAGCCTGCAGCCCTCCCACCCAGCCTGCAGCCCCCAGCCTGCAGCCCTCCCACCCAGCCTGCAGCCCCCAGCCCGCCCTCCCACCCAGCCTGCAGCCCTCCCACCCAGCCTGCAGCCCCCAGCCGGCCCTCCCACTCAGCCCCCAGCCGGCTCTCCCACCCAGCCTGCAGCCCCCAGCCCGCCCTCTCACCCAGCCTGCAGCCCTCCCACCCAGCCTGCAGCCCCCAGCCCGCCCTCCCACTCAGCCTGCAGCCCCTCCCAGCCCCGGGCACCAGGTTGTTCTTGGTCTTGGCCACGTTGGGGTCGTCCGGCCCGAGGCGTGTGGCATAGATCTCCAGTGCCCGCCGGTAGTAGTACTCCACCTCCTCGGCTTTGCCCTGGTTCTGGCACAGCAAGGCCAGGTTGCTGAGCTGCTTGGCCACATCTGGGTGAAACTTACCCAAGACCTGAGACAGGAGAAGCAGTCACGGCTGGGCTCGGGCTGCTGGGTCCCCTGCCTACCCCCGGCCATGGCAACCACCTTCTCACGGATCTCCAGTGCCCGTTTGCACAGTGGCTCAGCCTCCTTGTACTTGCCCCGCTTGCCGTATAGAACCGCCAGGTTGTTGAGTGTCGCAGCCACCTGGGTGTGGGAGAATGGAGGCTCCTTGAGCTGTGGCCCTGCCAGGCACAGACTCTGGGACCCCTGCAGGGGATGACCTCTTTCCCCCAACTCCCACTCACTGCTGGGTGATCTTTGCCTAATGTCTTCTCCCGGATGGCCAGGGCATCATTGAGCAAGTGGGCAGCTTCCTTGTACTTGTTCTGGTCCCTGGAGGCAGATGGACACGTGGTCAGTGTTGCCCTCCAGCCCTGGTGGCCTGGGGTCTCTCTCCCTGTTGTCACTGATGTGATAGAATGTGCACTGGGACCTGGGCAGTCCTGGTCTTCCAGGGGCTTAGGGGCCAATGGGCAGTTTGCTGGTGTTTGGGTCCCAGCCCACGGCTGGCACATAGGCATGCCCAGGGACACCTGGGACTGAAAAGGCTCTCACCGGTAGACCAGTGCCAGGATGTTGAGCATGGTGGCCACGTCAGGGTGGTCGTGGCCTGATGTCTTCTCCAGGTCCTCGAGTGCCTGCTTGCAGAGCGGCACGGCCACCTCATAGCGGCCCTGTGACGCATACTGGATCACCAGGTTGTGCAGGGTGCGGAGTCGCGCGGGGATCTCATAGCCTCCGTGCTGGGCAGCTACATCCCCTCCTCCAGGGCTGGGAGCTGCAGGGTCAAAGGCATGTCAGATGGACCGTGTTCCCACAGCACATACCGGCCAATGGCCACGACTCTGCCCTGGAGCCTTGGCCTGCATAGACTGTGGGCACTGTGACACACACCCTGCAGCCCCAAGGTCTCTGTGCTCAGCACCTCTCACTGTAGCTTGGCAGGGGCACAGCAGGGGACCTGATGCTGGGCCTGGCTCTCCTGTGTTTCTAACTGGGATGTCTGCTCTCATCGGTCTCCATGAGGCCGCTCAGGGAGAAACAACCCACCTGCAAACTCGAGCACTAAGGGACACACCACTCTGCTATTGCCAGAAACGGATCTGTGCTGCCCACAAGCTCCAGGGCCCCAGACACCTCACCCTGCTCACCCCTTCCTGCCCCTCCCCTGCGCACCTGGGCTCTGCTCCTCCTCATTGGGGAATAGATCGTCCAGAGAGTCCTTGGGAACGTCCCCCTTCTCCTCCTGGGGAGGGAGACAGGGCAGGTGTGAGGGCGGTGGGAGGTATACACCCTGTGCCATCCGTGCCACCCGCCCCTGTGGCATGGGGCTCAGGCTCGGGGAGGTGTCCTCCTCCAGCCGCCCGTGCCACCTGCCCCTGTGGCATGGGGCTCAGGCCCGTGGAGGTGTCCTCCTCCAGCCGCCATGCCACCTGCCCCCTGTGGCTTGGTGCTCACACTCGCGGAGGTGTCCTCCTCCAGCCACCTGTGCCACCTGCCCCCTGTGGCATGGGGCTCAGGCCCGGGGAGGTGTCCTCGTCCAGCCGCCGTGCCACCTGCCCCCTGTGGCATGGGGCTCAGGCCCGGGGAGGTGTCCTGCTCCAGCCGCCGTGCCACCTGCCCCCTGTGGCTTGGTGCTCACACTCGGGGAGGTGTCCTCGTCCAGCTTGCGGATCTGGCTCATGAACAGCAGGTGTTGCTTCTCCTCCTCAAGCTGGGCCACGGCCTGCTCACTGCGCTGCAGCTTCTGCTGCGTCCCCGCCAGCTCCTCGCGTAGCCACTGGTTTTCCTGCACCAGCCGCCGCACCTGCGCCCGCAGTTTCTGCTTCTCTGACTCCACAGCCCCCAGGTGGCTCGACAGCGCCAGGATTACCTGTGCAGCCAGCCAGGGACATCAGAGCCCTGGCCCCTCTGGACTGGGGTCCCTCACCCTCAACACCCCAAACAATCCCTGTCTGAGGGTAAAGCCCAGGAGGGTGGACATCCCTGACGGTGGAGGAGGGCTGTCTGGGTGCTAGGCCCCTGAGCAGCCAGAGACCATCTGTGTCTCCTGGGCTGGTGGTGTCCCTGCAGCCAATCACGCCTCACTGCTCTCAGGGGCCAAGAGACCTGGGGTGCTGGGCCACCCCAACTCCTGTCAGGGGTTCATGGCAGTACGAGTCTTCAGTGGCCCCAGGTGGGGGAAGAGCACTTGTGCCAAGCCAAGATGCCCTGGTGGGCCACAGGGGCAGCTAAGGGGGCATCCAGAGGCCTCCATCTGCAGGCCTCTCCCCTGCCTCTGTGGCTCACATGGGTCTCCTCCTAACCCCTGCCCTCACTGCCATCCGCAGAGCTCCACCTGGGCCATGCCCGCTAGGCCCCTGTGTGGTCACCTCTGCCCAACAGCAGGTGATAAAGGGAGAGTGGAGAGCATGTTGCTCTGCTTTCTAGCTCAGCAGCAAACAGCCCAAGGACCCTTGTTGCAGACAACACTCCCTAAACAGCCTGGAAGAAAGCCCAGCAGACGGTCCCTAGTTTAAAGACAAGAAAATCAAGATGCAGGGGCCTGCCTAGGCCAGCGGAATCGGGCAGGGGAAGGACCAGGGTCTGAGGGGCACACCAAGCCTCTGGACATGCCAGTGCCTTCGGGCATGTCAGGCCAGTGTCCTGGACAGCCCCCACCCTGGTTCAGGTGAAAAGCAAGCTCGAGTGGACAGGGTCTCATGGCCCTCCCCTTCATTGCAGCCCACCCGAAGACTGGCCACTCCCCTCTGGCCACCATCTTCAGCTGAGCTTCCCAGCCAGCCCCTGGCTACCCATTCCTGTCCCTGACCACAGGTTTATTCTTCACGCCTCAGCTGGAGGGAGCTTCCGGAATGCAGGTGGGCCTCAACCCAGCTGGCCACCTGCAGGAACCCCGCAGAGGCCTGCTGTGCCAGGCAGATGCCAAGGCCCACGCTGGCTGCCATCTACACAGGCCAGCTCTGAGCCCTGGCTTCCTCACACTGTCCCCTCTCAGTGGCCCCCCATCTTTCCTACCCCAGGACCCCTGCACATGCCCCCCTCCCTTCTCTGGAACCGCCTTCTTCGCGTCCTTAAATGTCATTTCCCCAGAGGAGTCAGGAGTGCTCAGCAGAGACCTCCGGCTAGCAGCTATCACAAGACCCTGCTCTTTCCTTTGAAGAGCTTCTCACCATGGATAAAATGATCTCTGTGTGTGTGTGTGTGCTTCCTATTGGACTGGGGACTCCGTGTCTCTGCCACCTGACACACCGCCTGGCCCACAGGGAGCCCAGCGACAACAGCAACAAACAGACCAATGGGGTGAGGGAGCAGGTGCTCCCCAAGGACTCCTCTGCGGGATTGTCTATCCAGAAGCAGGAAGTGGCCCTGTGGGGGTGGGGGGCAGTGAGCGAGAGTGATCAGGGTCTGAGGAGGGGGAGGACCGAGAGGGTCCTCAACAGTCATTTTGGGGGCGCCCTGTCCAGATCCCTCCCCGCGCAGTCGCCGCGGTGACCCGGCCGACCTACCTGTGCCTCCCCCAGCCCCAGCTCGATGGCTTCCAGGGATCGGCGCAGGAGGACGCAGCGCTCCTGCGAGCCGGGCTCGGCAGCCTCGCCGGCGGCGTCGGGCGCGGCCAGGGGGGCCAGCAGGGCGCGATGCTCCCCGCGCAGAGTCTCCAGCCCCTGGATGACCGCTTTGGTGCCCAGCACGATCTCATCCTGGCTCAGCTTCTCCTCCCGCGGAAGCACCATCGTGGCCATGGTGGCGCGCGCGCGCGCAGCCTGGGAAGGCGAGGGGGCGCGGGTGGGCAGGTGGGCGCCGACCACCCCGGCGCTCCCCGACGCCTGGGTGCCCCAGGGAGGTGGAGATGCCCAGACCCTTAGACCCCACGACCGGGGCCCGCGCTCAGCCTACAGGGGGCGCGCCCGGCCCGCGTCGGCCCTGGAGACGCAATGCGGTGCAGCCAGCGAGGCCGGACCCGCGCGTTCAGCCCCGCACGCCACCGGCTCGGGCTGCCCAGGTTCCAGGCTTCCCTCCTGATGGAGCAGCCACCGACGCTGCGGGGAGCGCGGCGCGGGATGCAGGGGTCCGCTCCTGTGCCGGAGACGCGGCCCCAGCACCCCTCGGACAGCCCACTCAGGCCCCAGCCCCAACCCCTCTGGAAGGGGGTGAACCTGCCAGCCCCGCCGGGGGTCCGGGTCCTGCAAGGCCACGCCCGCAACCACCCCTCCCCCCCCCCAGGCGGAGGGAGCCCCCCACCCAAGCCCCACAGGGCCGCGCCCCTCCCTCGCCGCTGGCAGCCCCGCTCCGCCCACGACGACCCATCCCCGGGCCGCGCCCCCGCCGACCTCGGCCCCGGCCGCCGCTCCGCTCCGCGCCGGCCTCGCTTCACCGGGACCCACAACCGGGAGCCGGGCCCGCAGCGTCCATCCCGCCGGCCTTCCCGGCAAGCCCCGCGCCGCCTTAAAGGTGAAGCTGCTACCTCGCAGGCGTCGGAGGGGGCGAAACAGGCGCCTCTCCGCCCCGCGCCGCCTTAAAGGAGCGGGCGGGCGCAGCTCCGCGGGGCGGTGCTTCTCCCGGGGCGGAGCGCGGCTTCGCCCGGCGCAGGTGGACCGCGGACACCTCCTCCGGGCTCCTCGGTTGGGTGTGCCTCTTGCTCCCGGGACGCCTTCAGCGAGGACGGCGGGAGGAGCCCGGCATCCGGTTCGGGGGCGCAGTTGGCACATGGCGGGGCTCGGAGGCGTGATAAGACTCCGTGGCGCCCTCCGTCGTTGCCCTTCCCCGCATCTCTCGGGGGTCTGACCCCGGGCTCCACCGTCCTGAGAGAAACACCCCGGCTTGGGAGCTGGTCGCGTGTCAAAGAATTCTCCTCCCACTGTATTGGGGTTGCTGGGGGGAGGAAGCGGGTAGAGAAGAGGGGAGCCTGACCCCTGTGGCTGGACGCTCTGCTGCGCTTCCAGTGGCCTGCTCCCCCAGGGCAGGCCGAGACTGTTGTGTCACTGCAAGGGTAGCTGCTGGGGACACGGCGGATGTCAGGGAGAGCTGGTTGAAGAAACAGGTAGTCGGCCTAGTGGATAGGTTGTCTTTCTGCTGCATCCCACCAGGGCAGAACCTGGGGGGCAGCGGTGCCTACTGAGGCTGGGTCCCTGCTGCGCCTCTGGTGGAAGAGCTGCATGGAGTTCTGGGCCCTGCTTCACCCAGCCTCTGGGGAGGGAACCAGCAGACTAAATTAAAATCCTGAGTGGGTGTCTACGCATCTGTGGCTGCTGCTTCCAGGTGAGGCATTAAGGAGTGACAGGCTGCACACAGCACAGTGGAGATGGAGACCCTGGCCTCCTGGTGTCCCCAGATGGAGCCCCCCGCCTGGGAGCCCCACCCCTGCTCAGACCTAGGCGTTCAGCATGGGGCCCAGGAGCCAAGCACAATGACCTCCCTGTCCTGGGTCCCCACCCATTCCTGCAGCCCCAGTGGAGTTGGTAGGCAGCGAGGGCCCTAGGGGATATGTCCATCCAAGGTCTCAACTTCCTGAGGAACCAGCAGCCCTTCTTCTACAGAGGAGGGGTTCCCCAGTCAGCCACAGCCCAAGGCTGCTGCGGGAAAGACCCTTAGCCAACCATAGGTTTCAGATAACTTATATGGCATATTGTTATAATTGTTCTATTTTGGTATTGTGAAGTCCTTACTTAGAAATTGAACGTTAAGGGCCAACATTGCAGTGCAGTAGGATTGCCTGCAGTAACAGCTTCCCATAAGAGCACTGGTTCACGTCCTGCTGCCCCACTTCCCATCCAGCTCCCTGCTTGTGGCCTGGAAAAGTGGTCCAGGACAGCCCAAAGCCTTGGGACCCTGCAGCTGTGTGGCCGACCTGGAGGAAGCTCCTGACTTTAACCTGTCCAGCTGTAGCTGTTGAAACCAATTTAGAGAAGAAACCAAAGGATGGACAATCTCTCTGTAACCCTGCCGTTCAAATAAATATTCCTTTTTCTTCTAAAGATTTCTTTTTCTTTTTTTGGAAAGTCAGACATACAAAGAGAAGGAGATACAGAAAGAAAGATCTGTCTGCTTGTTCACTCCCCAAGTGCCCACAATGGCCGAAGTTGCGCTGATCCGAAGCCAGGAGCCAGGAACTTCTTCCAGGTCTCCCACATGGATTGCAGGGTCCCAAGGCTTTGGGCCGTCTTCTCCGCTTTCCCAGGACACAAGCAGGAAGCTGGATGGGAGTGGAACAGCCAGGATTAGAACTGGCACTCATATGGGATCCTGGGCATGGGCAAGTTGAGGACTTTTATCCACTAAGTATCACACCGGGCCCTCAAATAAATATTCTTTAAAGGAAGTGAGACATTTGCTTTATTTCCACAGGAAAGAAACACGTAATTAGGATTTGCTACTGCCTGTGGCTGCAGACACCCTCCGGAGGCCTTGGAATGTGTCCATGATACATGGGAGGAGGGGCTGCTAGAAGGAGAACTTTTCATTTTTGTACTAATCTGGCGTCAGAGTTGTAGCACAGCTCATTGAGCCACTGCCTGCAAAGCCAGCATCCCATAACACCTTCTGTTTGAGTGCCAGCTGCTCCATTATGGATTCAGCACCCTGCTTAGGCTCACAAGAAAGCCAGGGACGATGGTCCATGTGCTTGAACCCGACACCCCACCCACTGGAATGCTGATCTAGGGTTCTGCTTTGGCCTGGCCCAGGCCTGGCTGTTGTAGCCTTTGGGAAGTGAACCAGGGGGATGGAAAATCTTTCTTCCTCTCTGTGCAACTTTGTCTTGCAAATAAATACATTTTTGTTAAAAAGTTACACGGAAATATTCTCTCCCCGACCACTGGCCTCCCCTGAGGCACCTGCTGCCAACAGGCTCTTGTGTTCATTCCCTGATACTTGTAGGAGGCCAGGATGCTTTCAGGCCGGTGGGGTGGGCAAGGGGGCCCTGCTGGCCAATGCCTTTCGTATTTGGGCTCTGTGATCCTTTTAGGCCTTCCAGCAGCTGTGTCTTCCAGAGGCAGCCTGGTGGCAATGTGAACACACACCCCCCTGAATCTGCCAGGGGCTGTAGTCTCCTCCCTTGCCTGTCCAGTGGGCACCTGAGGGCTCAGCAAGTCTGTGCAGAGAAGCTTTCTTGGAGGACTCCAATGCCTGCGATGTGTCATGTGGAAACAGGTCGCCAGAGGGAAGGGCAGCCACATGAGGTGAGACAGTGGGGGCCCAGGCTTCCAGGGACTGCCGGATTCTTCTAGAAGCTTGAATTCAGTGTGTGTGTGTGTGTGTGTGTGTGTGTGTGTGTGTGTGTGTGTGTCGGTGTCTGCAGCCATGGCACAACCCGCAGCACACACAGCCCCATTGCCCCCTCAACCTTGTGCCAAGCTTTTTCATCTACGGAAGCAGCACTGCCTAGGTGGCTTGAGCTGGCTCCTTGCTGCTTGCTGTGGCTGTACCTGCTGTTCCTCCAAGCCCTGCTGGTCCTGATTCTCCGGGTTGTGTGCCCCGGGCTTGGGGGAGGCTGAGGCCATCTTCCTAGCCCTGTTCCCAGGATCTTATCTTGCGTTTGATGTTTGACCTTGCACTGTTACCTTCCAGCCCCTAGCGGCTTTATCTCAGCTCTGAAGATCACACCATCTCCCACGTTTCCCACGGGAGGGACTGTTACTGCCTGCTGGGCTCCTGCCTGGCTGTCGCTGATGGCTCAGTCCACGGAGAAGGAGTGGAGGCGTCCAGTGACACTGACTGAACTCCTGGGTCGCTGCCTGCAGTCCCACACCCGCTGGGGGAAGTGGTTCTAGGCGCTTCCTTCCTGGAAACCACCCCACCCCTCGAAGCATCTGCTGGCTGGGAGCTGTGAGCGCCAGCCTCTCCTTGGTGGAGTGTGTGTGGCAGGCGCTTCCTCCAAGGCTCCCCAGCTCCCCACCCATCCCTACCAGCATTCCCACCTGCCCCCTTTCTCACAGTCAGCTCTTCCTGCTGCTGTGGTGCTTGCGGGAGAGGCCCCCACTTGCTCCCAGCCAGGCTGGCAGGATCCCTGTCCTGCTCAGTGGGGCAGGAGCCCAGGTTTTGGGGGTAGACTCACTGGGGAGACACGAAGCCATATTTCCCCTATGTGCTCCATGCATGCTTTTTATAAATGCGCTGTCACTGTGTCCACCCCCTCACCTGCAGGGTGGGTTATCAGAACAGAATAATTGGGTCCAACTTTAATAGCACGCCGCCTCCTCCTAGCAGACACTGCTCCTAGAAGTCATCAGTATCCAGGCTCACCAGGCTCATCGACTGATGGACTCTGTGCTGGGGAGGGAGATGGGGGGAGAAAAAAAACAAACAACAAAGCCATAGAGCGCAGGGGGCTGCCAGCCTCAGCATACAGTGTGGCTAGAGAGAAAGCGTTTGGGAAGGAACACTAGCAGAAGAGGCAGCTGGCGTGATGGTGGACGAAGCGTCTGATGTTCATGGCAGGTGCCCGTGGGGTCAGGAGGGAAGTCAGCCTGGCTCTCCCACTTGCCAAGGAAGTTTGCCTTCCAGCTGGAGTAGAACCCCAGGCCCATGTGTGGTGGTGAAACCGCCCGTAATCGGCTTAGCCACCCTACACTGGCCATGCCTCTGGGGCCTTTTCAGACCTGCTGAGCCCACCTGAGGACCTGCTCCTCCGGCTTCACACGGACTGTCTCCTGCACCCACAGCAGCCCTTGGTGCAGGTGTCATGTCCTTAGGGCCATCCTCTTCAGGCAGAACTGGATGTCCTTGCCTATGTGCCCATGCAAAATGTTTCGCTTGCTCTTGGCCCCTACAGGCCTTGGGGTGCCTAGATGGGTGAGGCTCCAACC